TTTACACAATAATTTCGCATTTAATCATCTTGAGCCTTAACACATATTCTAGTAATTTGTTAGAAAGAATGCATATACATGTAATTAATCGAATAACATCAGCATTTAAAAAAAAAAAAAAAAAAAAAAAAAAAAATACTAAGACAGGTTGAAGAAGTCGAAGCAAAGTTTGTTTCTATATATATTTGCTCTTTACAATTTCAGCCTCACCATAATGTACATATGTCCCCCCCCCAAGTACGTAACAGCATTTGAAATATGCTAATTGCTACTCTAAATTGTTTCAAAATTTTAATCATTTCTTAGTAGTCAATAATCGCTATCACAGATAATCATCTTTTCTAAGAGATTCACCACCATAAATGACAAAAATCATCTAGATCAGAGGTTCTCAACCTTTTGACTAATGCGTACCATCTAAACAAAAATTAGCACCACCACTACATTTTACAATGATTGTTGTTCAGTTTCTCAATAGAAATATTCAAAAAGTATCTATTTTGCCATTTGCACAACCTATTGGCTATATTAAATGTGCACACATAAAAAAAATATTTAGATTAAAAATTGGTTACCATTTTTTAATTACCAAAATTTAACTCATAATACTTTAATTCTAAACTTTATTGTGAAATTTGGGCCTTTATAAGAAAGATCAATTTCTTAATGCATGGTCTTATTTCACTTAACTTTAACAGTAAATTAGGATCCAATTTTAATTTTGTTCTGTATTTCTTTTTCAAATAAAAAGTGGAAGAAAATACTTGCTCACAAAAAAATAGGTTGTGCGAAAAGGCAAAAAAAATTTTAACAGTTTTATTTGAAACGCCTTTAATTTTTTTTTCCCCCAAGCCTAAAGTTAACAAGTGTGTTATTTTTGAAATCTTCAGTTAGAGTTCGATCACAGGAAATTTCTATCAATTGTTCTTTTCCTTCAGGAGATTTTTGAATTTAATAGTTAAAAATACTTTGTTTTGCGTACCACCAATTTTTCCCTTGTGTACCACCAGTGGTACGGGTACCACCAGTTGAGAATCGCTGGTCTAGATTCATGGTTGGTTGTCTCAGAAAAAGTTTACTGTACTATACTATTGATAAATATAAATTAACGGCAAAAAACTGTAACTGAAAGTTTCTAGAATATCAGACATAAAGAATAGTAATTTTCCTAATTGTGATCCTTTGCGGAAGAATAAAAAATAAAACATAAAAATGAATAAAAATAAAACGTAAAATGTAGTATAATAGGATAAACTGTTAAGTTGACATTATGGAAAACATTTCACTGGCTTTTTAAATATCTCATTAGTGTAGACGCTATAGTTTAATAACTGAAAAATTTCTTCGTTTAAAAGGGCTTAAATTCTGTAAGAAATATGCGATCTTACGAACAACTTCTGTACTACGTAAGGCATTTATTTGTTAAGGCGATATTTGAAATTTGCACGATACCGATTCGGCAGTTAAGTTTGCTGGTTTGTTAGTCTAAACCCGATGGCCCCTTTAATGAGGAAGTACCCAACGGATCTACTTTTGAGTCCATGTGAATAATCAGATTACGTATATCATTATGAAAATTGAATGACAAAGCCAGGGTAAAAGCATCATTGCCAATCCATAGAAGTGAAATAAATCGGAGATGGTTTGAAGGCAACTTTGGGAATACGGTCACTCAGGTCAAATCATGCGCAGAACATCTAGTGGTAATAAATGTTCATGACGAATGGGCTATTTTGGACCTATAACTGTACGCTTATAATTTGCGTATTATTCCATCGACCGTGAAATTTGGTCTTATAAAATCCTGAAGAACTAACGTCCATTTTTCTAATAAACAGTCAGTATTAAAAAGTCTGGCTCTAGTGTAGAATTGGGTGTCCCTTCGATTAGCGACAAATTTTGTTCAATTTTGGCGATGAAATCCCAATTCTGGTTACTATGATAGTTTTAACTTTGTTTTAGCTTCCTGACTTTTTTAAGCCAAAATAGATCGATGTGTACATACATGGACACCGAATTTGTGCAATTCTTTGACTTCTTATTTTGGTTTTATGCCGCGGCCATCTTGCAAGTATGCCTTCCTGGGGCCGACCTTGGCGTCAAAAAAGAATCGCCAATAAACAAGTAGCACCCAATTGTAAACTTTTACCAAAAGTCAACTATTTTGTTAAGCTTTTCGATTTTATCAGATCTGCTTAGAATGCCATTAGCACAAACTTCTCGCAGCTAATTGTTCCAATATGCTACTATCTTGTCGGCTACATTCAGCTGACCATAATGTGTATATCCAATGCACACTTTAAGTTAGAATCCCATAACCTTGAAAATGACCCACTGCTAGCTGTTCTGTAGAACGCCGCAAGTCCAAAATTTTAATCTCCCACCCCCCAAAAAAATGCCAGAAAAATACAACAATAAACAATTAATTTCCATCTTTAAAGATAAAAACAAAAGATGGTTTATCGAGAATCAAATGAGCTACATCAAACGAAAGCGCAGACGTTACAAGTGTGCTGTCCACGCTTACCCACGACTGGCTCTAAATCGCGATCCGTTGCGACAGTTTCATAATCGACGTAAGTGATTGTAGAATAATTAGACAATAATATGTGATTATGAAAAAGGGAACCAGTTTAAAGAATAAGTTTTAAGAATTTCATAAGAAAACGCTTAAAATAATACAAAGTGATATTTGTGCACCAACAACTGAATCGAAAATTATAACACCTGAGGCGACAGGCAAAATAAAATTGAGCGAAAAAAAAAAAAAAAAAATGTAGCCTTGGCGAATATTGACGAATTAGAACTGCTGAATAAATACAACAAAAATATCAGTGAGATGAAATGAATATACAAATTGAAACAATCAAAACTATCCATAATATACACACAGGTGATACTAGAAAAATAAAAAATTGCAACGCAAAAGAAAAAAAAAAAAAAAAAAAAAAGCTTGTTGCCATTGAAATATTAACAAAATATTATTAAAAATCTTACTGGTTCTCTAGGTTGCATTTAAAATTTTAAGTATACCGTGTGGCAATGAATTATATAATACCAGTGGCATAGTTTTTCCCCTTTTTTGATTATTAAAATCTATAAGCATGCAGAGAGTTTATGCATATAAATCAGTCTAATAAATTCTTTTTATTAACTTAGGATAACAATCAGTTTTTAACTGATTATTCGAAACGCGGTATCAGTTTTAATTGTTCTTTACTTGACAAAAAAATTTAAGTAGTGAAACGCAGGACTTACGCTTTACTACATGAAAAAAATTACAGTTAAATCTTAAGATACAATATTATACTTTAAATCAATTGAAATTTGGCACTTTCTTTTGCTTTACTTTTTCTTGAAACTAAGACAATATATTAGTATATATCTGAAGTTTATATTAATTCTGCGCTTCCAAAATATAAACCAAAATAATAAAATAATTTTATTTTTAAATCTGATTACATATAAAATATTATTCGATATTGACAAGCGGGTAATTTCTTAATGAAAAAACGAAAGGATTATTACTGCCAGAAAGTTATATTCTTTAAAAGAAATAGAAATTATTCTAATATAAGCAATTTCTTATGAATAAATATATTTAATCTCAGTAACAAAAATCATACTATAAAACATTATAACGTTAGCTTTCATTTCTACAGACGATAAAATGCGCTTTTTTACATTTGGCGATTAAATGTTTAGTGAAAATTTCAAGCAATAATCAGTTAAGAAATGCAACATTTAACGTAAACATAATCAGCAATATTTTTCTCGTTTTTTTACTTCTAACAAATTCTAACATAAATCTTCAAATTTAAAACTAAATATAATTTAGTACAATTTCTTGAACCACCGATTTTAATAGAAACAAGATTTAAAAAATGGGAAGTATAATTAGAAATCTAATGTAATTGATGTGGAACTATGCTGAAAAATAAAGAAAAATGCTAAAATTTAATAAATAATAGTTTCACAACTGTAAATTACCGATCGAAGGAACCTGATATTTATATTTTGGATACTGATATTTATATTTTGATTCGTATGTATACGAACTTTTCAGTTTCTTACAAATAAATTTTCCAGTGCATACAGCGAAAGACATATAAACAAACACAACAGTCTTTTTTATACAAGTATAAAACAAATCAAACTTACTCTTATTTTCAAGGCCTTGATATATACCGATTTTTCTTCCTATCAATTCGCAGATGAGGTATTTGGCCGCCATATAGTAAGATGCAACAATCACCCTCAGTCGTTCGTACCAAGCCATGTTCGCTGTTTGTGACCTAGTGACAGAAGCTTTCGCAGCCAAGTGTCAAAACCAGATGAGGTGAAAAGCGCGCTTGTACTCCTATTGGCTGTGATAATATCACGTGGGTTATCAAACGAAAATATTTATTTACCTTAGATTGCAAACAGTATATTTACCACTTTCCGCATATTTGCTTCTCAAGAAAGTTGTAAGCTCCCTCGCACTGGTATTATCTGTAATTCATCCAGGGATTCCGTGAAACAAAAATTCGGAAGAATTTTTTTAGTGTCATGTATTCCGTGAGACAAAATTCGGAAGAATTTTCTAATATCACGCAAATCGCAAAACTAAACAACTGAAATAATTAAATATTTTTATTAATGTTTAATTTTTAGTAATATTTATTCTAATATTAATTTTATTAATATTTATATTAAAATTTTTTTTGTATTTTTACTGTTATCTAAATTTACACGGAATAGATCTGCTTTAATGAGTACAATAATAACAAAGAAATTATCCCCCTCCACAAAAAGTACCTGCAACATTGATATAGAGTGGCACCTCGGTATATATCATTAATTCGTTCCAGTCCCAGCGACCTATACCAAACGAACTTTTTCAATAAGAAATATAGGGAAAATAAACAATATCCCCTTCCGTTTGTTTTTCTTAACCATATTTAATCCCGAAATGATTCTTTCAGTTCAAATCTGGCAGCACTTGCGCCGCTTTTACCCACAATTCTTTCCAAACATTCTTATTTATAAACTTTGTTGATGTAGAAATGAAGCTTACGATGAAAGTTCTTGCGAGTATATTTTTAATTGCTTTTCTCTCTCTTTTATATATTTCAGTGTACTATTATATTAGTCTTAATGAATTTGGAAACAATAATATTAATTTTTTATTTATTAAACATCATATGAATATACAAAAATGTAATAAATTACAAATAAGCTGCTAATATGTGTTCTATTCTAATTATATTATACTTAAATTAGGGCAATGAAATTATATCATTATTTCCTGATGGTTATTTAAAAATTTTTATAGTACTTATATTACTTGTCAAATTACAGAAGATAAAATACCATATGTAATATCGAATTAAGTTTCCCATCGCTTTTATTTTGTTTAGTAGTAGGTAACCAGAGAATGCTTGTGCTTGTTTTTCATCGCAAAAAGTTACATCGATTTTGCACTATTTACGTTGAAATGAACAAGTCATAATCACTAGATATGTTTACAAAATACAGAGATAAATATGTGAATCTTCAATTCAGATGTATCATAAAATGTTTCAAATTTATCATAACCAAATTCGATAGCAGTGTAAAATGATTTTTTGATGCTTAGGAATAAGGGATGCGAGAAATCAGCAAATATTTAGGGTCACTCATTTTGTTAATTATAAAATCTTACTTGTTGAAGCAGCCACTGCGTTTAGTCATTAAAATTTAGCAAACTTAATGACAGAATATGTAACATAATAAATTTCAAATGTCTACAGAAGCGATAGCAAATTATCTATTCTTATAGCTTATTCTTATAAAAAGTTACATAAAAAAAATTGAACCCTGAATTTCCATGCCTAAAAAATTTAAATTATCAAAGATATCATTATGAAACAACATGTGTTACAACTAATAATCAATTTAATCTATTTAAACTATTTTGCTTCTGTTTCGGTAAGGTTACTAAATTGTTGACTTCTCCTTTGTTGCTAATATCAATTTTTTACAATCTCAAAAGTCATAACTAACGACTTATCATTTTGCGTTTACCTAAAAGATAAAAGTACTTCCTTATTATAACGGCCGCCAAGACTGAATCGCTAATCAATCGAGATATCTCGACACGTGTTCTTATACCTCGTTAATGTTACAATTGGGTCGATAAACGATTAAATTTTGGGAGCCGCTATAATAAAGAAGTAAAACTATAAGTAACTCTGATTTACATATATATATCTCAAACTATGAATTCCCAGGTTCAATGAAACTAAATATATGAAAATGGTTTTGAATTCACAGATGTACTTAAGTTCAATGAATGGAAATTCTTTCAATGCGCTATTCGTTTAGGAAAGTACAAATGCAGAGTGGTTATAATTAAAGTTCCTCTTTCAAATGGTCATAAAACGAACACTACTGGACCAAATGTTATCAAACTTGGTAATCGTGTAAAGAAGGTCACGGGAATTTATTTTCCGCGAAAAAACAAAAAGTTCAAAAACTCACCACCAGGCGGAATGGCGCTGTATGCAATATTGTTAAACGAAATAAGGGTCGGAATCTAACTTAACCTTTTGTTACATGGGTTTAACATATTGTATTCCCTTAAGAAACACTGACCTAAACAAAATTACCATTTAAAGGCGATAAAAGCCGAGTGTAACGGAGAAATCCGTCCGTGAAAACAACAAGTTAGCGATTACTCGCAAAAGTGTGCGCATTCCGAAAATCGTTTTCTTACAGATCGCTTAATTTGTGATTTTTGAAGCCTAAATTCAGCTCTAAGACCTGAATATGTCGGTTTAAAACGCTTTTAATCGTTAAAACGAAACTATTTGTTGGGTGAGGCAAAACCGCAATGGCTTGTAATTGGCTTACGGCAGGTAGAAGCAAATGATTTACGCAAATAATCTAACAATTTGGCGTAATTGAAAGATGCGATACACCGACATGTCCTAAGCGATACACCGACACGTATCGCCTAAGAGCTGGAAGTTGAGAATGCAATAATACGATTTAATTGGTAGACGCCACATTGAATATGTTTTGTAACACGTGTCAGAAAAGATTAAACACATTTTAAACCGATGTCTTCATATCTTGTTTCGTTTAACAATATCGCATACAGCGCCATTCCTTCCCTGGTGGTGAGTTTTTGAACTTTTCGTTTGTTCGCGGAAAATAAATTCCTATGACCTCCTTTTACAAGATTATCAAGTTTGATAACGTTTGGTCCAGTAGGTTTTAGTTTTATGACTATTTCAAAGTGGAACTTTAATCATAACCACCCTGTAGATTGGTTGAGGATGGTTTATGATTATGATGATAATGAATTTAATATATTTAAATTATTTCACTTCTGTTTCGATAGGGGTACTAAATTGGTGACTATTCCTTTGTCGCCAATATAAATTTTTTACGCTCTTTGCTAAAATATAAATAACTCTAAATTTTATATATATCTTAAACTATGGTTCCCAGGTTCAGTGAAACTAAATATATGAACAGTTAATTCACAGAAGTACTCAAATTCAATTAGTTCGCTTAGGAAAGTTTTGATGTATTGGTTGTGGATGGATAATAATCATGGTTTATTACTTTAAAACAGGAACTTACGTCATTTTCCGTCTCCCTGCTAGCCTCATAATTTTGGGAACCACAATGGTACTAGGGTATTATTCTGGCCAAGTAGCGTAAATTTTGGACGACCACTTCCTTTAGAATTTCTTACTAATGACTGGAGATTGGCAACCATTGCTAAAATTTCTGCCATTGCTAAAATTTCAGGGATCGACGGGATAATATGTAAGTACCATGACAGCTGCACAGATGGTTTGAATAACCTGATTTTTCCTCCACATTCCATTTTCGTTTAGTATGTTTCGCTTCAGGAAAAGCGCGCCAGTGGAGGCCAGTTCAGGAAAGCGCGCTAATGGAGACTATTCAACTATAGTCTCAGATGAAGTGGAGAAAATCGTATGCAGTGATAACGGCACGCGTTACGATGGCAACCGAGAGATTCGCAACAGCCTTGAAGTGCCTAATCTAAAGAAACATACTAAAGTCACACAGCGCTATACATCTGAAAAACAGCTTCACGGTGTTCGTGATATCTATAGTGAAAAAATGCCATCAGACCCAATAAAAAAAATTATTTTGAAAAATTTTAAGAATGCATTGAATAAAAAAGTTCACATCTGCTCTACTTATCCTGTGCAGTGATGTTTACTGTGTCGCGTATAATTCCCTTAACTGATTACTTCGTTGACCCCTTGATACGCAATGACATTCGGAAGAAGTCATTGATCTTATGTGCCATTGTAGAATTTGACTTCTACGAGACTTCAAGAACTGTCTTCGGTGAACGCCGCGCAGTATATTAAGCAATGTACATTTAAAAATAAAACGTTCCGTTTCTAAGCTTGCACATGAATGTCCAAATTAAACGGTATTCTTCGGACGCATATTTTATTTGTATGTCAAGGATTGTGAGTTCTTGAATTGTAATAATTAAGCAATCGCTAATTTTTAAACGGAATGTTGTTATTTGTTTAAATTTTAATTACACTAATTGTATTAAATTTTACACTGAATATTTAAAATTGTGAATTGAATGTCAACATTTACTTTTAAATTTTATTCCATCTTTATATTATTGTACAATTTTTAATGTATAGTTATTTTATAGTTTTCAAAGTCCTTTCCCACATATTAGGCTATCTCGCTGGAATCACTTTTGTCAAATTAACATGGTTTGGTTGTAATAAAAGTTCTCTTAAATAAAACAGAGTGAATGCAGTTGTTTAATACTTTTATCGAGTGCAATAATTTGTATTTTTCACTGTTAAATTTCTCACAGAATCTAACTGACGAAATGAAGAAGGAAAATTGTAACAATATCGGCTATCATGGTAAAAATAGCATCTCGTCACAGAAAAAAGAGTTTGAATTATTCCTCCAAAAGCAGTGCAAAATCTTGGCTGCAAAATATACATTCCTGACAGACAGACAAATCAAACAACGAGCTGTGTGTATGTGGAAGAAGATGAAATCAAACACTACTTCAGAATGCACAAAAAGGTACATAATGTATTTTCTCTACATTACACTTCTTGTAACAATTATAGCAGTGACAAGTAACCGTCGTTGTTTTTAACATATGTGCACCGAGCAATGAAAACATAAAACTGCATTTCTAATAAGATGTAGGTCTTCCTATCGCCTGATAAGATATAAATTCAAATAGATATTGAGACTATGACCACAACAGAAAACCCATAAACTAAGTGGTTGGGATGATGCTTTTATAACTATTTTTTTCAATTCGAATCAACAGAATACATATGTGTCTGCGAAACTGAAGAGCAATGAATACAAAGGAAATTTTTCGTCTTGTTATTGCAGCCACTTCTTAAAGATGTAGGTCTTCCTACATCTTTACATAAACAGTTTGAAAAAAACGACCTACATCACCTTGTAAATGTTCTTATTAAGGCATCATGAAAGTTATTTAAATCAAATAAATATTTTATTTTACCCTCTGAGAGGAAACGAAGCATAGTGAGAACTTCGAACCAAGTGTTAATTACTTTTGTCCACAATCTCAGATACCTAAATATATTTGCAAATTCAGAACAATTCTTTCATACTATATGGCGTTATATATAATACAGGATATACCTTGCTGTTTACATCAGAACACTACAAGGTTAAGATCGATTATATTCTTGTTACTGCTTGTAATTTTTATACTCAAATCATAATGCTAAATTATGCTACAGTTATAAACAATTTTGATACTTTCTGATTGTCCAAACCTCCGATTTCAACTTTCGATACAACTATTGTACCTTAGGAGTATTTTCGAATATACACATAATAATAGCCATTCCATGCATGCGCGTGCTGCACACGTGTTTAAGTGCACTCGCTTTATATTTAACCTTCAATTTGCTAAACAAAATCCACCGGTTGCAAAAACTTAAATATCGACCATACAGAGTTTTGTAGCTCCTTACAAAATTTTTGTTTTTTATATAATGCTTGTTTTTGTTATTACTACAGCCAGAGTCGGCATTAGGGTTTTTGCCTTCCAGTGCAGTTTCCGTGTTTTCCTAAATTCTGCCGCCCGGTGCTTCTCACAATTCTCTAAGGCGCAATGAGTAGGCGATTTTTCGTGAGGAGACCGATAATCAGAAAGTGCAGTTTTAAAAAAGTTATTAGATTAAGTTGCAGTTACCCCCCCCCCCAAAAAAAAAAAAAAAAAAAAAAAAATTGCAGTTTGCAATATTTTTATGATAGTAGTTGACAATATCAAACTTTGCATCTTTTTATACGTGAAATAGTCACCGCTAAATGGTAACCGACAACGGTCTAAAAATTATATTTCGATTCCTCTTCAGAACCAGTGCACTACGCTTTTATCTTTTAATTACCGTCAAGGGCTGTAAGGGAATGGAAAGGCATAAGACTGTTATAAAAATAAAGATCATAATTAGCAAAGAAAGGCGATATATGCTGAATACTTTATGCATATCAATCACAACTTTGATGCTTGGCGTTCAATTACTATTTCCGGATACTATTCCGTTAGAGCGACATCAGTTAAAAATAAAGTAAAAAATGAGAAGGAAACAATGCTAAAACAACAAGCTAAATATCGCGGCTCGAGATTTCTAGTTCTAATTTGAGATATCATTACTCGTTATTTTTTGCCATATTTCGGCATTTTTTTAGTACGATGGATTACACAATTTCAGTGGCGTAGCTAGGGTGAGGCAAGGGGGGATATGTGTCCCCGGGCGCAGCATCCAAGGGGCGCCAAATTGAGGCTACGAAATTTTTTAATGAAATATTTTCCATTCTTGGCACACAGAAAGGGGCGCAAATTCTTCAGTTGTTCCCGGGCGCTGGAAACTCTGGCTACGCCCCTGCACAATTTGGCAATTACCTAATGACCGAAAGGCTGTCATAAGATTCTTTCAGGACAAAGAAATAATTTATGGCAATAGACTTTGTTCTCAAAATCATCCGCTGAAGTTAACTTTTGACTCAAACAAAGCTTCTATGTTGTGTACATTCTTGCTGTGGGAAAAAAAGGATTGAGAACCAAAACATGGTTTGAAGAATCGCGTCTTTCTTTCCTCAATGCCATTTATTTTATCTGTCTGTGGTATCAAGAATTGACATCGATTGCATTTTGATAATCAGCCATTAATACGACAATATATTGGAACAGCTACTTTAAAGTCTCTTTACGAAAAATATATATATTGGACGTCTTCTTCCGGAACAATAAGTATTCGGGGTTTGTGACGCGAAAGCAACGCTGATGGCAGTATTATATTTTCGGACTGCTGGAAAAGGATGTAAAAAAGTGGAATTAAAAAATGCTGGATATGAACATTTCCCTGTGAATCACATTTAATTTTATAAACCCTGAAACTGGATGCCATACCCAAACTCTGGGGCAGTGCTAAATGGAGAAATAAATGTCAGGGGGTGGGGGGGGGAACTGCTCGCCACAATTTACAGTCGTATTTGATAGAATTTATGTGGCGTCGGTTACATTCAAAAACTGAAAATTTTTCTGCAATGTTGAGTGATATTTCAAATTTTATGTCATCTGTTTAGATTGAATTTCGTTTTGTTTTGTTATTTTTTATTTCTGTGTAGAGTATTTCAGATTAAAAAATAAAAAGAAAAATTTACTTTCTTTAAGAATTTTAAAAAATATATATATTTACTTTTTACAAAACTAATTTCTTTTTAGTTTTTTAAACTCTATTATTATTTCACTAATTTTATACTCGGCAACAAATGGTGGCAGAAAAAAAGCGGTCCATTTTAACTGACGCCGCTCAAACGGAATAATACTTATTTCCGAAGCACGGATTTGCAAAATGCAAAGGCGTTTTAAATATTTTAGCTGGCCCGTGTAACTTTAAAATAAAAATGTTTTAATATCGGTTGTTTAATTTTGTAGGGTAAAGGAAAATACGAAATACAAAGACAAATCTTTTGAAAAAACAACAAGAAAATCTAAAACGGCTTTTCACAGCAAGAAATCTCCTAATAAATCACCACAGCTTCCAAAGCACAGAGCGTTAGTTCCTCTACAAATAGATGTTGTATCTGCTCCGAAGAAGAGCGTCTTAAAGAGGTGAGTAAAGAATCTTGCATATCCATTATGATTCTAAATGCTTAGTACACAAATTTAATACTTTTTGGGAAAGTCAGCAGTTAAGTAGATAAAATATATAATTAATTGTTAAATGACTGAAACAAACTGACTTTATACATCATAGTAAGGTAAATGAACCGCATGAAAAGCAGTAAGAATTGAAAAATAAACTTTGCCCAACAAAATCACATCACATTGCCAACAGTGCTCAAAGTCATATTTGATATAAAAGTGTAATCCATAATCGCAACAGAAATAGCATTTTTTTCAAGTGTTTATCTACCATTTCTTAATTTTACCTAAAGTATATCATTTTCTATTAAACACACTTTTTAGCATTAAAAGTTGGTACTACTGCGTTTTGAGGACCGTAAAAAATCGCCAAACTATTGTTGATGCCAGTGCTGCCAAAAATAATTGCGGCAACCCTAACGCAAGAAAGGAAATATAATAGTAAATAACTAAGATTATTGTTTTAATTTAGATGAAAGGTTAATTTCATATAATACTTTTTTATTATTATAATTTATATAAAAAAGGCTAAACATAACTGAATGGAAGTAGTAATAATAATGAATAAGAGTAGATAACTATTTCAGATTATTATAATTTATATAAAAAAAGACTTAACATAACTGAATGGATTCCTGCATCGCTATTTCGCTACCGAGTTATCGCTAAAGCATAATTTCATCTCGTTGGTTGTTCAAACATAATTTTCTATAATGAAAGATGCCTTTTCTTTGAAAAAATTCTATTGCAGACTTTTCGATATGGGCAACTGCCAAATTGTTAAATCCGTAGGATATAAAAAAAAAAAAAAAAAAAAAAAAAAAAAAAAAAAAAGGATTTAATAATTAAACTAGTATTTCAATGACGTCTTAAGATATATAGAACTATGTAAACGTACGCAATTTGAAATCAGCGCGTACGCTAGATTTGGCGCGCATGCTTTTGCGCATGCATTTTCGCTGCAATTTTTTTTACGGTCCTCAAAACGGAATAGTACCTAAAAGTTTTATTCTACTTAAATATACAGTCTACTTTTAAATATCCCCCTCCCCCTTAGTCAGGTTTTAATTTCTTTCTAACACGTGTAGAGTTTCCTCTTAATAAGATCTCTTATTCCTTATATTTCTAATTTTCATAACTTACGCATCTAAAAATGTTATGTAGAGACACCATGATTAAGGCATCTCTTTCCCATTTTACTCTCAAAGTACACCAAAGCAATTTTGTTTCAATTTGCTAAAATTCTGGATTCTGCCTTTGTTCTGTCCTTCAGCAATGTCAAACTACGTGAGCTCCAAGCAATATTTATGTAGGTGAATCTCCGTATATCTGTCAGTCTGATGCCATGATCAGCGAGTTCAAATTAAAACTTATGATTCTCATCTGTACATTTGACTCAGGACAGTTATTTGACATAAATTACAGATACAATTTAGTTCAACTTGCAGTGCATAATATCTCATAATGCCAAAATGGCCCTCCGTAACTGCAGAGCAAGAGACGTTGGATTCGTACTTTGAGTATTTCTGTGCATGCGGTTTCGTTTAATTGTCAGAACTCATTTGCTGTAGGCTCAAGTTTGTAACTATTGGAGCTATCGTGCAGCAGTGGATTACACGTGTTCATTGGCGACACAGCCTGTGAATACAAAAGCCAACATAGAAGTGGAGGCCATACACAAACTTTTAGATTTTCTGATAGTGCACTATCCTTTGGTAATTGGTTGCAGGCAGGCCTCTAAAAAAGGCCTACTGTACACTTTAGAAATCTAATGGTAGCTATTCAACGCTTAGAAACCGTCTGAAGTAGAATATAATAATATCCTGTAGCGTCTGGCAAAGCCAGATATAGATGAGACCATCGTTGTGCGAAGAACAGAAGAGGGCGATACCAATCTAAAAGATCTTAAGATCTTTTAGATTGATTTTTGACTTGACATCTGCAGATCTGAAAAACCAATCAACAACCAACGGACAACAAACCAATCATCCTTCTATTCACAATATTCTAGCCGCAGACTAGCACTTGCAGCCGCAGACTGTTGCGCATGTCAAAGGCAATGGATGAAACAGGCGCTTTGCAAAAATTCTCTTATGCTGCAAATGACACCGAACTTGTACACGTGAAAACTGATTATAGTGAAACACAGTTTTCTGGCTCGGAAACGCGAACTTGGAAATCTATGAGCACAAGGCATCTGTACTCACGTTCCGTGCCACGAATGAGCAACTCGGATCCACCTCGTTAGTGAATTTTCCCCTCCTCCATTTTCGCACCATTTTGTTAGCTTTTCGCACAGTTTCTGGGAGGGAAAGCCAAAGTTTCGATATGCCACAGGTTTTCCGCAGTCAACGCCGGAAATCTGATATAGCTGCTATACTGTTTGAAGAAGCGTAACTTAAATCGTCTGCTGTAAGAAACAGCAGCGTAGATCGTAATGATGCATCACTTTTCAGCACAGGAGAATTAAATTGAAGTCTTTAATTGCAGTGCTCCAGGACCCTCGATAAAATAGAATTTTAAAATAAAACGGACAGCATCGCCATTTGGAAGACTTTGATATTCTCTGGCCTTGGCATGATCAAAGTATAAGGATTCTGAAATATGTATAGCATCTAATTATTTTTCTAAGAACCAGGAACTAACCACATATTACAAAATATAACTTGAAATTTCAGGGAACGTGCCCAGCTTTCTGTTTTCTTCACTTACCCGTTCCAGAACGCATTATTGGCACCTGTGATTTATGTGTATTGCAATGCCAATCACTTACATATTCTCCAGTGCAAATATAGGGTTGACCAGATTCTTCATTTATAGTGCAATTTTAATAGCCAACAGATTCAATAAAAAATTTTGAATTTGTATTAATTTATCAAATATCCATTTTCAGCATTTTAGCTTTGGAAGTTTATTTTTCGATATAAAATGTCTAAAGAATTTATTCCAAATATATTCCTCCCACAAATAATAGATGGCATTAGAAATGGACATTTTTCCTTTTTTTCAAAATTTTAATTTAATTTTATAAAAGATGAAACACAGTAATGAACACACGGAAAAAAATTAATTTAAACACTTTGCAAGTTTTACTTCAGGTAACTGTACGCCGAGATTGTAAATTATTTTAAGTTTAATAAAAATAAGACATTATTAAAGCATTGACCACAACTGACTTTATTCGCAATAGTATTATATTTTTTAAAATTTGACAAAGTATATTAGCAAGCTCATACTCACTCTGAAATCCATTTCTGTTTAATCTATAACATTTTCTCAAAAATATATTTAAATTCAGCTGCTCTGAATTTTTAAAAAAATATTTGCGATTTGTCACATTTACTACATAAATGAATGGTGCTTATAGTATTATAAAGCAACCACTTTGGAGCAGTCTAATGATTTTCAGATATGAAAAGATAAAAGTTACTTATCAGGTGCAAGTTGGTGGTTTTCGCGCATTGTTTTTAGAAAGATTCCCAAACTATCGATATTTATCGTACGTCGTTAAACATTATCAACATATGAAAAAAAAAAAAAAAAAAAAAAAATTAGCAATTTAAATACAAATTTCAATTATTAAATAAGGATTATGTGATACATTAAAAAATAAAATACTTACTTTCTTCTCCCGGAGTATACAGTGATCGGTTTCCGCTTAAAAAAAATTAGAGATTTACAGAGACTTGGCTTCTTGCAGCCCTCGGCAACAGGCGCTATCTAGGAAAGGCATTTCCTCATTGCTCCCTTTAGAACATTTTAAACACAATTCTGAATTTCTGCGTAAATTTTGTTACCGCAGATTCTTCCACTGCTGGCAAAATCTATAGGCTCATGTTTTAAAACTTAGGTTTAAAGCAAAAAATATCATGATTTGCTTATAAAAATTGTTGGAATAAAAAAAAAAAAAGTATATGGAAATGGCGGCATTGCTTGACTGAAGGATTATTATGAGGATGGGCGTCCTAATGTTTATGCGCATGGTTGCCAGAGCCCAGCACATTCTGAAAATTTGGCAACTTCTACTAAGGTTGTTGTGTTGATATGCGAGTTTCAAATGGATTTATAGAAATAAATTATTCAATGAAAACTTTCTATTGGCCAATTTAATAATACTAATAAGAAATCCTGGTATAAAATACAAAGAATATACTGCATTCATCTATCTGTATAGTAATGGCTGAGTTGAAGTATTATAAATCTATAATTAAACGATTTTAAAATGAAATATTTCTGTGGGGTATTTTCTATACCTTTTTAAATTCCAGTGGCCTTTAGATAAGTAGAATTTCATACTTACAATTTTTAGGAAAGCCATTTGCTATGTGTTGAATCCTTTGCTTTCATAACAATTTTCTAGTTTATTAAAATAATGATTTAAAAATATCATAATTAGTTAATTAACTTATTTAATGCACTAAATCTTAAGTATAGATTCTTAGATTTTTACATCTACTTTTTATCAATAAAACCTGGTCTAAATTTAAATAAAAAAATTTTTAAAAGAAGACATATAAATAATTTTATCAGTTAATGGTTTGTGATAAAAGAATGTTTTCTACATATGGCCATATAAATAAAATGCATATACATAGGCATTAGCATTATAATCCTTAAAAATATGTAAATTGTAAAGATAACATGTTATATGCATAACATCAAATTTCCAAGTTCAGCTACCTGCATGATGCAGCAAAAAATCACTATCATATTATTTAAAAAGTTACATGATATATATCTATAATAATGATAACATCATGATGTTCAAGTAAAATTTCTAATCACTGAAGGAGCGCAAAAGTTATATTTATGAATTTCTATGTTTAAAATTGTTATACTTTTTATACATTTCATATAAATTTATATTATGACAGGAATTTAAACAAAACAATATATCAAATGGATATAAATCATGAATAATTTAAAAAATTAACATAATTTTTCAAGCTCTTAAATTTTAAAACAAAATTTTATTTTTGAAGTATTTTAAATTTTATAATATTTATTATTTCAACATTATTATCAGCATTCTTCATACTTTTTAGGAGTTACGAAAGAAATAATGATAAACGGCGTGTGAGCTTTAATAGTCAGCCAGAGGTGCAATACTGTACAGAAAGTGATGAAAGCACAGTTAATATTGCTCAAATAGGTATGATGAACACTGCAACATATAAGAAAAATTCTGTGTCAAAAATGGAAGAAAAATTTGATATTCTACTAAATGAAAAATGCACTTGGAGTTACAGAAAACCGAAAGGAACAAATATAATCACATCTGCAAGGAAAAAAATTACTAATGGTAACATTACACAAATACAAGCTGCAGTAATAACCACCACAAAGAAAAATAGGAATACCACAGCAGATAATGAAAACAATTTGCCAAGTTCACCAAGTGAAATCTCAGATACCCAAAGTGAAAAGAGATTAAAAATTGAATATAAAAATATTCATAGAGTTAAACAAAATGGAGATGAAAAGAAACAAGAAACAACACCAGAAAAATATCAACTCTCAAACAATGAGTTATCAGCTATTTCACTCAGAAAAAATCATAAGCGTGAAAACAAGCAGACGAGTTCACAAACCAAAGAAGACAAAGCAACACGTAGAAATCTGAGATGTTCGAAACAAATAAATTATAAAGAGTTCACATCATCTAATGATTCAGACGGTAGTAGTGAAGATAAAATGATTTTACAAACAAGATATTCTGTTATTAATATGAATGTTTGCCCCTTAAATTCCACTGACATGGACAAAAATAACTTTTCAAAATCAGATAAATTATATGATAATGTGAAAGCTGAAATTCCTTTGCATACAAATGAAGAAATGCTTCCACAGGATGATCAAACAACAATTAATGAAAATATTGATGTAAAAGTTGTCAAATGTTTTGATAATAAGAAAAAATCGACAAAATTTTCCATGAATATACTTCCTACATGTGAAAAATCACAAGATAATGGATCTATAATAGTAGATTCTTTAAGTGTAGAAGCATCAAGTCCTAATTGTCAATCAGGAAGTGACAGTGATCAGAAAGCTGGTAGACACAAAGTAACAACAGTTTTAGATCAGAAACAAAACCTGAAACTCAAACAGCATAAAGATGAAGAGTTTGATCCTCAACTACAGTTGGAAATTTTTCAGCGATGTCAGAATATCAGTGCAGAAATTCAATCAGTTTGTGAAGAGCTTGAAATGCCACAAGATTACACTGAATATGAAATTACAAATAATATTCTCCCTGATAAAGAAACTGATTATAATGAAAATACTGAACAAATACAAAATAATTTATCTAATGGTACACAGACACATCCAATAGCTGCCAAAAGTGAAACTGATCCAAATAATACATACGATATTCCAAATAGCAGTTTACTTGATGAAGAATATTTAAACAATTTTTTTAACAGCAATTTCGAAGTTGATAAATATGTAAATAAGAAATGCAATTTAAATCACTCAGTTTCATCAGAAAAGCAGCAAGAAAATCGTTCATTCTACATAGAGAAACAACATAAAATAAATACAAAAAATAACACTTCTCATTATTTAAAAAATTCAAGAAACAGAACTCAGCCTCAATGTGAAAATGTAACCAAAGATAGTAAAAAAATTAAGAAATTCATAAAAGGAAAAAAAATAAATATACAGGTTAAATATCCTGAAGAATCTGAAATAATATCAAGCTTATCTATAGAAGAAGGAAGTGATGTAGCATTACCTAATGAGAAATTAAACACCCAGAATAAACAAATACAAATTAAAACACAAAATGATGACTTTAAAACAGTCAATCACCCAGAAGATAAAGAAAATTCTGTTTTTGAAGAGAATGAACACAGTATCTCAAGTATCAGTTTCATTACAGAAACTCAGATAATTGTAAATCAAACCTATAAAAGCACTCCTGGTCAAGACTATAGCAAAAAGGAAGACACTTTTACTCAGCCTAATAATTTGGAAATGGCAGAAAAAATTGTGATTCACAACATACGAAAGAAAGATAGAAATGAAGGAATTACTAAAAACCCCCAAAATAAACTTTATGAAGAACTTGAATTTAAAAGTAATGGAGAAAATTGTGATGTTTTAGTAGAAAATTTTGAAAGTCCATTATCATATAAAAGTGAGAATAAAGATGAACACCTGAAATATCAGAAAAAGAATAAAATAAATCAACATGGCAGTATTTCTAAAATGCAAGAAAAATCACCCATAACTAAAGTGAGAAAGAGAATTAAGGAGAAAACCAGCAGAAATCCTTATAATAAACATCACGAAGAAAGTGAAAGTGCACCTGGAAATACTGAGGAAAATATTGATCTTTTATTGGAAGATATTGAAAATTCATTCTTGCATGAAAATCATGAAGAAAACATGCAACAAGAACAGCAGTCTAAGAGAAAAAGTTTGAGAAACAGAAACAGAATTGAGCAAAAAATCTGTAAAAGTCCTTATAATAAACATAATGAAAAAACTGAAAGAACTCATCGAAATGCTGAAGAAAATGACGATTTTTTATTAGAAGAGCTAGATTCACTGTTATATGAAAATGATGAAGAAAATATGCTCATAAAGCAATCTAAAAGTATAAATCTGAGAACAAGAAAAAGAATTATGGAAAAAAACAGCAGTAGCCCTTATTGTAACGAAGATACTGAAAATATATATGGAAATGTTGAAGAAGATGACAGCTTTTTGTTGGATGAACTTGAAAGTTATTTGCAGCACGAAAGTGATGAAGAAAACAGACATCTGGTAAAGCAATCTAGAAGGAAAAATTTAAAAAGCCCCACATATAAAAATGATCATCAATATAATGGAGATTTATCACCTCTAAATTTCTACCACGAGGTATCTGATAATGATAGTAACTTTCAAGATGACTTACTTTTTGATTTTGATATTAATTATCAATTAGAATACGAAAATATGACAAAATTTACAAACAATAAAACAATCATACCGAAACAAAAATATATTAGTAAGAAAAAGACAGCAAATAATGCAATGCATAACTGGCTGAATATAAGCAAAGATAATAACAATAACTTCAAACTCATTGACAATAAAATAAATGAAAAGCCAAAAACTTGGGAAAGCCTTGAAGAAAAGTTATTATCTTCTTCAGGTGTTATGTCTGACACTACAAGTTACAATGAATCAAAATTAAAGCATACTGAAACTGAATTACATGACCATGGCTATAACACACAGAGAAATATTGGAAACAGAAATTTATCAAGAAATAAATCGGAGCCAAATTTATTTACAAACATATTGAATGACAAGCAATTCACTCAAGATAAGGTAGCGGATATAACTAAATGCACTACATTTGAGAACAATAATACAGAATCTAGAAAATCAAAATTGAAAAGCAACAACATTTTGAAGAAAGCTATGAAAGCTATGGACAGGAGTGTTGTACTTTACCAAGAGAAAGTAAGTTATTTATATAACTAATGTATAATTGTTGACACATTTGTAGATTTCTTTAAAAATGCTACAGTTCTTCATGAGACATGTTCAAAAGGTAGTTGTCTCTCAAAAGGAATACTTCTTATGCTATAAGAAACTTAGTCTATACATTCATATACAAGGTGTGACACACACACACAAAACAAAACAAAAAAGACTCGTCCAATAAATCATTGTACTTACAGAATCAGTTCTCCGTGACATTATTACCTTCAAAGTAGTTCCCTTCAGCATTTACACAATTCTGCATTCGGTGCTGATAATGGTTCTGAAACGATATCTTTAGAAGGCCCTTCAGGAGATTCTTTGATTTTGCCTGAACCTGTTCAGCTGAGGTAAAATGGGTTCCCTTTAAGTAAGAATTAACTTTAGGAAATAAAAAAAAAGTCACATGGAGCCAAATCAGGTGAATAAGGAGGCTGCTCTATCACAGTAATGTTTTTGCTGGTCATAATCTGCTTGACAGATACGGCTGTGTGAGCGGGTGCACTGTCCTGGTGCAACAGCCATCCATCACTCCAGAACAGTAGCCTTTTTTTTCCCCCTAATTTTTTCACGAAGACTTTTTAGTACCTAAATGCAGTAGTATTGATTAACAGTCTGACCACTGGGAACCCATTCAATCATGATAAACACGCATCATCTTTTACACTGTCCCTTTTCCTGAAAACTGCTTATGCCATTCAAACACACATGCATGAGATAAAGTTTCATCTCTCAGTTAGCATTTGAAATGTTTGATGTCACCAAAACAGTAGTTGCCAACTCCATTCTGTTTTCAAGCTATATACTTAGTCTCTTTTTTTTTTTTTTTTTTTTGTGTGTGTGTGTGTCACACCTTGTATGATTAGAAGCATGAAAAAAAAAAAATCCAATCACTCATTTTTACTAAAATAAAACCATTATCCTGTATATATATATAAGTTAGGTAATTGTAATAAATTGCCTAATACTTGTGCTAAAGATTCAAAGTAATAAAATAATTATTTATTTGCTACAAGATTATTTAATATATTATCTCCTTTTAAAAAGTAGTTAGAATTCTAAGGTAAAAACTCATTTTAGCATTTAATTTTTTCTTCAGAGTCTCAGTTCAATTAATGCTAACCCTTACTAGTTTTATCCTTTCCCCCTAGGATTGCTTTATATCTTCTTATCCATATCATTAACCCCTGAGTGGCACAGTTTTTAGATTGCATAAAAAAGTTTCTATTGAAATACATAATTAATATAAGAGTAATATGAAGTATTTGGTACCAGAATAATTTACAGCATTCAGAATTCATAATTTAATTATTTTCTTATTATAAATAATGATTTTAATACTTTATTTTGCAGATAAAATCTCCTCAACTAAACAAATGGTCAAAAAATAAAGATTTTTCAATCAATACTTTCTCTGAAAGCCATGATAACAATACAGTATTACAAATACAATCATCTATGCTACTTGCAGTCGAAGGATCAAAAATGCTGAAACAAACAAGCGATTTAAAAAAAAATTATACAAAACAAAATCCTCAGACAGGTTTTGAAACGAAATGGCCTTTACCACCAGCAAGAAAATCTAACAGGACACATTCGATAAAAGTTAGAGAAGAAAGTGAGATAAAGAATATGGATTTTAAATTAGACAACAAGTATACCAAAGGCAAAGATAACAGTATTCTGGATACAACAGAATTTAATGTCTCAAAATATTCCTCTCCGAAAAGAAGAAACTCACATAAAAATAGATATCATAAAGACAAGTATCTCGCTAAGAGGAAATGTGCTGGAGATGTTATAACCACTGGGAAAGAAAACATTGTACAGGAAAAACAAAAGATAACAGATGAAATAATAAATTCTGTTCTTGAAGACATTGAATCTAAAGTAACATGTAATGAACCCTGTTCTACAGAAAGAGAGGAAAAAAATTACAACATAACAGTAGCAAAATGTGGCTTGAATCAACAAGGAAAAAATAAACAAAAGACATTCAAGAAGTATGTAAATGAAATCAGCAAGCAAATAAAAACTACAAAAGAAAATAATACAGGAAATGATGATAATTTAACTGAAAATGCATCGTTTCATGGTTCACCTCAAATAAAAAGTAATTTAGATACAAATATTTCAAATCACGAAAGTGATTCAATATACAGGAAAATTCCTAACTTAATGGAAAATGAACACAGTTTGCCATTTGAAAGAAAAAGCATTTCAGACACAGTTGATAAGAATTATGAACACACATCTTCTTCTATTACACAGTTTGAATTCAAGAAACCACATACCGAAACATTTTTTAAAACCAAAACGTCAGCTGTAAAAGAAGATATAAACACTGCTTCACAAAAATATTTCCAGAAAACTACTAGTGCAACAACAAATGAAAAATCAAGTAATAATAAAGGCTATTCACAAATTCAAAGCAAACATTGTAAATCAGTTAACAAAAAATTGTGCAGTCCTGAAGAAAATGCAAATCATGATAAAATCCCTGAAATGTATAACCAACACAGAACAAATTTACAAGACAATTTGACTATTCAAGAGCAAATTGAAACTGAAGAATCAAATGAAAAACAAATCTTAAATAAACCAAAAACAAATAGTGCAGAAAATAAAACAATGGTAAATATGAATGGAACAGAAATAAATAGGAGTGAACAAAAATTTTCATCTTTCTCACATCTTAAAAGAAATGCATCAAATAAAACTACTCCATTTCTTAAGAAAATATTCAATAAATTTGAGTTCATGAAAAGAGATAAGAATGATAATGGATTAAAAACCCACAGAGGTAACAAAAATATGTCAAAAGCAAGCAGAAAATACAAAGCATATTTGAAGAAGCTTTTTAAAAGTGGTCAATGTATTATAGGTACTAACTGTCATGAGAATAAAAATAAAATAAGACTTACTTCAGAAACAAAAGATCAGACTGTTTTAAAACAAGACAATGCTATTACAAATGAAACTGCAACTAGCATGAACTACAAAAACAAGTTAATTGCAGATCATGAAATATTTTCAGTTTCTTCTGATTCAAGCACATTCACATCATCTGATGATAATGTAAGTTATGCAGGTTCCTGTTTAAAATTTAACTTTTAAGTATTTTATGTTTAATCTTCTTAATTAGCACGAAACTACTTTTTTATTACTATTTACTCTATTTCCTTAATTTATTATTATGTTTCAAATCTTTTCATTATTTAAGTGACATAAGAAAATTTTAATCTTATGATGAATTTTAAAATATAAATATTTCTGTTATTTTAAATCCTTTCCTGATGATAATGAGTTTTGTGATATTAAGGACATACACTAAGGAAGTTCCTATATTCAATTATTAATACATGATTTTTGTAATAAGCACTTTATAAAAATTTAAAGAAAAGTTTTACTTCTGTAGAAGAATTAAGAGTAATTATTACTGAAGGTAATCAACTAAACTAGGTGAAATTTGATTACTATAATTTTCAAAAATATCCAATTCTTGCAGCATTAAGCTAGCTTACTTTTTAAATTTAGTGAACACTCTTGAACCATCTTCAAAGATCACATCTGTACCACTTTAACTGATGTTTCTTTAATGAAGGAGCTCAGATATTTTAAGTACATAATAATTGCAGTCTACTCTCATGCAATGTGAGTTGTTTTTTTGCACTGTATATTTTTCAATAGAATTAATAAATTGGCAACTTGGATTTCTTGTCAATGTTGGTAAATGAAAATGGTCTTGCTGTCCTCATTTGCTTCTGGCTAACAGAGGAATATCAAAAATTATTATTGAAATACTCAATTTTTTAAAAATAAACATTAATATGTTGAATATTTAAATAATTATGTTATTTCAATGCAAATACTTTCATCTATAAAGATAAATGCAATTTCTGCAGCTTACAGAATTTCATATCCTTGCCAACAGAAAAATCTAAGTCTTTAAATGAAACACATAGGGTATACATTAAATAGAAAAGTTAAATAGTAGAAAATGAAAAATTGTACCTATGTACTATAATATCAATTTATACATAATTATTTTTTAACTTATTTAGTACAAATCCTACAATATTAAAAATAACAATTTTATTATTTAGAAATGAATAAAAATATAGAATTAGTATTACTGAAGTTATTTCATTTAATTTAAGAACATCATAGTTAAATTAAATCCATGCACCTCATTTTGCAAATTTGAAACTTTTGTACTTCTTTTATTGTTTAATAAAATGCATCTATATGCAGACCTTTTTTGTATAAGGTATTTATCCTGCCTTCTTAGCATGGTTTTGTAGTGTAGTGGTTGGCGCGCTAGGCACGTATTCGAGTCCTGGCGAGGTCGTTGCTCATTTTTCATCTCTCCTGCTTTCTAAATAACCTAATGACTCTACAATTGTAATAAGTATGAATATCTATTATATCAAAGAACTGCTATATAAACATACACATACCAAACAACCCAAACACTATAATCACTCTTCTAATACTGTATTGCTCCATTTCTGGCACACATAACAGTTTCAACCCATCATAGCATGGACTCTTATAAGTTCTTGCTAAGTGTCTGGAAGAAGACTGCATCAGATTTACAAGCATACTTTATATAATTTCAGCATATAATAAGAAGATGGTTGCAAAATCTGAGCTCGTGCTCCATGAAATTCCAAATGTGTTCAATAGGATTAATATCTGCTGAGTTAGGAGGCAATAGCTCATGTTACAGTTGGATACATCATGTTATACTAACTACTGCACACAATTCTGGAGTTGTGATGAGAAAACCTATTTAGCTGAAAGAAACAACTTTTGGAGCCATGAAAGAGTTTAATTGGTCAGTAGTTTGTTCATATAATCTCCAGTCATGACAAAGAATTCCGTTGCAGGTACTCTATGACAACATACCTTAGAGTATTAACATAGACACATAAAAATCATCTGCTGCAAAATCTCATGTTTAAGTGAGTCCAGAAAACAGTGTATAGAATTGTAACTGATACAGCACTGAATTCAGCTATCAATTAAGTCATTGGTAGTTGTTTTTTTGCCTTCACAAAGTAGGATACCCACAACAATTGATCAGGACTTGATGTCTAATATCTCAGCATCAACTACTGATTTCACTCTTCACTTTTTTAGTGTTCCAAGCGCTCAGGCCATTATCAAAGTTGCATAACTCAGCAGCCTTCCCATTATTTGCAAATGCAATCAACAAAATAAAGCCTCTAAATTCCTAAAAATTGTTAATTAACATTCCCACACTGTTATGAGCCATTTACATAATTTCAGTGAGCATATTCTTACAGTATAGAAATGAAATAATGTTTTGGTTGACCCGTGTGTGTGTGTGTATATATATATATATATATATATATATATATATATATATATATATATATATAATGTTGTATGATCTTAAATTCATTTAGTGCAAAAACAAGGTACTACTACTTGCACAATTGCAGCAAAGTAAGTTAATAATAATTTATTTACTAAAAAATATTGATTAATTGTTTATATTATCTCATAACTTCAATTATAGTAGGATTATCTTAAAAGAGTGAATGCATACTAGTAAGTTATATTTTGAAGTAACTTGAAAGTAAAATGTTAAAAATGTTTTAACGGGGACTGAAATTAATTCATGAATAACAAAATTTGGATTGTGAAAGGAATAAATTAAAGGCAAGAATTAAATTAAATGCATGTAATCATTGTCATTGATCGGAAATTAGTTGACGTTTCATGGGGAACAAACCAACTCCAGTTCAATGAACAATAATTAATAAATAAATACGAAAACTTCAAGCTATAAAAAAATTGGAGATTTTCATGCTAAATAGGGATGCTATTTCAAAATTCACAAATTTATTTAAAATAATTTTTCAATACACAATTTGGAATATTAAGCTAATTATAACAATTTTGATATACATTAATATTTAACTTCTATTTTAAATTTTAATTTATGGTTTTTGACTAATTTAATTAATCGTTTTCTTAAAATTTTATACTAATGAAAACCCGAGTAGGGAAGAAATCAAAGTCCTTTTGTGTATGATGGAAACAACAATTAAAATGTGGATAAATTTAGTAGATTATATACAGATTTAAAGCAAAATTAAACATAATCTATTTAAAAGCTAGTTAATTCTTCATAAAATGCTCTAAAAAATCTCTTACTTCAGAATGAATAAAAATTAGTTACAAGAATTGCATGGAAGATCACTAAAGAAAAGAAAAGGAATCTGCACAATTTAAATTTCATTATGAGATCAAATGCTGTGTTGCCTTAGCCTTGTCATCAAAACTTCTTTTTAGTATTTACTTTTTCTTCAGCTCTTGGTGAACACTGATTCTTCTAGTGTTGATGAAATGTTAGAAATTTCCCACTTTTAGCAAGATAATTGGCAGCTTTGATATATGCATATATACCCACACAAGGTGTTTAAAAAAGATTGAACTTTTAAACATCTTTACCTGGCTAAATATCTCTGGAATGTTTAATCATTCAAATTTCAGAAATAAGCCAAATACTTTAGATGTTAAGAGCTTTCATCAGGTAATAGTTATTATATGAAATTACATGTAGGCCTTTTGGGGAAAAGTGACATAAGAAGGTTTTATAGATGAAATAGTCAATCAACAAAACTTTCTCATTTGACAAAAAATACCTCAGCAGGATTAGCTCCAAGAATAGGCAAAATAAACAGCCACCTAGCGCACAGAATTTTGGAAGGTGGCAGTTTGGTTATTATTAATATGTTTAATTTTTACAAATTGTGAATTAGGATACTGTGCCTATATCAGAGATATTCTTCTCTGACGGTGTCTGTACATAAACATTACTATGTACAGACAGCTAAGACAGCTATTTATATCCCTTTTCAAAATGTCAATTTCTAAATGATACTTTAACATCTGAAAAGTACTAACAATTTTTTCAGAGTGAGTTTCGCACATTAAAATTGGTTTAGTTTCCATAAGATCTTTGGTAAATTAAGAAACTTCTTACTAATGAAATTCTTTGTAATGGGCATGCATGAAAAGCTATAATAATATGAAAGTATACCTTATTCATTTCTTTCAGTGGAATCATGGGTTTATCACAACTGCAAAAGATGTACTTAATTATGCAATCTATTCAAAAACACTATTTAAACTCACTTACAGGTCCCTCACAAATTTATATTGGTCATTTTTTATGGCTATAAATTAAATGGAATAATATACATTAATTGCTTTTAATATTATGGTCAAGCACACAATATCGTTGTCAGAAGAACTGCTTTTTATAGAAAATTGTAGATAGAGAATTTATTCAGACAGTTCATTACAGTACTATATATACCAGAGGAGGGATAACTTTGTGGAAAACTTTTCCATGGAAAATTGGCTCTCATTTATATGACATAGATGAAACATTGAAGCCCTTAAACTATAACACATATAAATTATTGATATATTAGCATTATTATAACACATATAGTTACTGATATATATACATAACTAGAATTCCTCCCAAGATGAAGATGTACATGAAACTTCAAGACCTAAGACTCTTGAGACAGATTCTTTACAAAAATAAACCTGGCACTGATAATGTGCCAGCCTGTTTACAGATAGAATAAACAAAAATTCAGGGAAGTGGGTATACCCGAATTCTAAAAATACTGCCCTGTATGGATCCCAGAAAGCCACAAATTTCAATGGTTGTATGTGATTTCCGGAACAAGTCCCTCCTCATGAGATCCAGGGTGACAAACAAACATCTGATTCCTGCCCTGAAAATTGCTAGTGCAAGTAGCAGGTCCCCAGGCATCCAAAAGCGCTTGTTGCAGGAAAACGTTGATGGACCTCAGAAAAGAAACAATAGGTATCATTCCACTATCAAAATTTCCTTACGTTCCTTCTAATTTTTAAAGAACTACGCTATTAGATAAGATCTTATGTAGTAACTACTTTTTTAAACACATCGTTATGTGTAAAAATGACTTTTTGTCCTTGCAGCCTGCTGTATTGTACACTAGGCAACTATTTGGTCCACTTAGATACTGACGTCTGATGTACATATAGGTAGGTACACATTCAGTAGAAAACTATTTGACTATTACAAATATCTAAAACAGCCACAGATGATGAGGAATCAAAATAGTCTTCAGCATTCATAATAAATTATGAGTAGTAGATAAACATTTAATTCACCATACAATTTTCACACAAAATATTTAATTAGAGTCATCAAATTCTTTTCTATATATCTATAATCAGTAAAAGTGAGTAAATAAAGTTATAACTTGATAAACAGCAAAAGTAAATGTTTTAGTAAATTTAAGTTCTATAAGTTAAATACAAAAGATGATTAGATTCAGATTATATATGCAGTTTGCACTAACATATAAAAATCAAATATAACTTTATTTTCAGATGCAGATAACACCAGGATCTGGAGTTCTTTGCGATTTCTTTGACAAAGAGTAATGTACAGTTTTTAGTTGAGATTACTATATGTTTACTTTTGATAAAGTGCATCATGATTTCATTGAACTGAACATATTTTTCAAGATAAAAAGTATTTATTATACATAGCTATGTATACGAAGAAAAATATTTACATCTGTATATAAGGACAACTTTTTTAAACTTATACAAAAACTGAAGTCCAGGTACATTATTGGCAGTTATTTCTTTGATGAAGTAAATCCAGAAAAACCCATTATTGCTGCCATATCTGAATCAACTTCTCCATCAAAAGCCTCAATTGCTTTCCGTTTTTTCTCTTTTCTTTTTTCTCTTCTATATTCTTTTAATTTTTCCTCCTGAAAAATGAAGGTAGGATATTCATTCAACTGTAATTTTATACATATTCTAATCAAATATTCCTAAGTTGTATAATAAATTTTATAAGCTGAGAAATTATGAATTTTTTCAGATATTAAAACATATAATTTTTCTCTATATGCATTTTAGAAATAATAATTATTACCAAATCATAATTTCTTACATAATTTTACATGAAAATAATGATACATGTTGTTCATTGTAAGGGCAAATACTTGTATAAATTTATTCCCTCCCCCAAAAAAAGGCATTTATTTCTTTTTCTTTTTAAACATAATTCAGAACTGAAAACAATTTAAAAATCTCAGCAAAAATAATTACTATTGTCCAAAATTTAAGCTTTCATGACATTTAAGTACTCGTGAAATCTCAAATTAAGTAGATTATTACAACAATATCTATAAAAAATAAATACATTGTTTTTTAGAGAACAAATTTTACCAAATATGCATCAATTGAATTATTTCATCATATATACATTACTAAAGAATTTTATACAAACAACAACACACACACATTAAAAAAAAAAAAAAAAAGAGAGGGCATAATGGCGTATTCTAATTACTATTTACCTTCCCATCCCGGGGGGGGGAGAAGGAAGAAAACATTAGTAATAAATTTTTTACTTTTTTCAAGAAATCCTTTTGTAATATTTTTGTGTTGTTGTCCTCCCAATGTGTATAGAGATGTGGTTTTGCTAAAAAAAGCATCAGAGAATTGCAGAAACTCAGCATCATCCACAACTTTGGCACTGCAAGCTGGGCAATAATAAATAAAGTGAATAGCTATTGTAAATGAGATATGGCTGTCTTCAAACCAATTTCCAACTATCATTTTAAGACTACACTTATAATTTTTCACATTGCATTTCCAGAAAATTTGGTTAAGAACAACTGCAATGAATGCAAATTTCTGCATTCCCTATTGTCCAGAAAGGAACCATACTTCTGCAAAATGCAATGCTTTCTTTTTCACCAGCCAGCATACTCCATAATTCCTTCAAACATGTTCAATTGCAAAGACAAACATTAATAAATTAATAAATAAATAATAATAAAAAATGATTGAATTTCAGAAGTGCAAATCCATGTATACTTAAATAGACATACGCTACCCTCATACCTGGGTTGCCCTATAACTATTTTGGTGACATATTGCATTGCCTCATGACCTTTTTTTTTTTTTGTGAATTTTTGATGGGGATGCAGGTAATCAGAAAGTATCAAAAAATTATATATCCACGAACAAAATAATCTTGAAAGTAATTTTTAAGGTTGGAGAGAATAACAGAAAAAATATACTGCTTACAAAACCCTCAGCAGCAATGATTTCCATAAACTGAATCCCTATGTTACATTCTGTGCATGTGCAATTGCATTAATAATGCTACAAAAAGTGATGGAAAATTAAACTTTGGATTTATTAAAAGAAAACTTTTATCATCCTTATTCCCCTTTCTTTATTGTATTTTCCATTGTTAACACTACACAAATTTTTACAAATACTATTTTCAAATATCTGTTCCAATGTAAATTATGTTGATTTTACTGTTATTTTTATTTTGAAATCTGATTAATTTATCTATCTAAATATAATTTTTTCTGGATTAAACTGCTTGAAAATACATGCGAAAAGTTAATAGTAATTTTCCGCTAATTATAATACATATTTTCTTTAACCTTAGAATGCTACCCTTTGAAAAACTTACGAGAATGGTAACCATTCATCTCCGAGACGAATTGTGCGTAAGCATGTTTAAAACCTATTTTAAAAGTTAATTAAAATAAAAGTATACTACCCGTAAATGATTTCAGGACTCTGGAACTTTAAGTTAGCAAGAAAGTACCATTTAGTTATTCTCAAAGCAGTCTTTACACATACTAGCATGTTGTTCTTTGCATATTACTCTGGAATATGTTTGACAAAAGTTGGGAATCATTCTGTACAAATTGTAGATGCAAAATGTACAAATTTTTCTTTATTTTTACTGTCAGATTGCTCAGAAGATTAAACGTTCAAATCTAATTTTAACAGCCCTCTTATGATTGTTCTTGTTGATCAAGGCAAAGTTGGTATATTGTAACACTTCTTCATACATGGAGCAAGAACATCTTCACTTAGCTTTATTGCAAACTTTTTCCCTCAATAATGCCAAGAGGCCTTCGAGTTTTCTACTACATGACATACTGTTACATATTTGATTCAATGTGTCTTGTCTGCAGTCCCTTTTTATGTCTCAGTCCTTTGGTTCTTTAATAAACTGAACAATATTGTAAGATGCTGTACTTGTGTTGCTTGATTCAGCACCAGATGACCACTTAGCTTTACCACCGAGATGAATTTTACCGGGGTAAATAATAGATTTTTCAACTTTTTTAGCTCTGTATTTTAAATTCAATTTTTCAACTTGTTTAGCACTTTCTTTTTTTGCTTCATATTTCAAATTAATATTTTCATCTTCCTGGGTTTGTTTTTCAAGCTTTGTTTCTTCTTCATCTTTATTGCCAAATGATAATTCCTCATTTTCATCTTTGCCGCTACCTGAGAATTTGTGATTTTCAACTTCAACAAAATCATCTTTCTCTGATTCATATTAAGAAACAAAACCACTCTCAGAGAGCCTCAGGTCTATCCCAAAAACTTTCTCTGCGAAAACTCTTCGACACCTTCAAGGCAACACAGAAATGAACCTAAGTCGGATTCTGAAATGAAACTTTACAGCTAACCATTCATTGGTAAGACGAATATTGTTCAAAAAATGCTACATGAGATAATATTTCGGTAAGAAATGTCCTTATCTATAGCAGCTGATCATATGAAGGCACTGAGTCATATGTCCTGATTCCTGTTGAAAGCAGGCAAGGTTATTTGTTATGGGCTTTATCCAGGAGACAAATGGGTAGCATTTTAGAATTAAAGTGTCTTAACTGCCCTGGATTAATTGTAATTTTGAGTTAACTATGTCTGTCATTCCTGATATTACCTAGTAGACTGAGAGATAGAGCAGAAATTTCATTCTGCAAGCGAAAAAAAAAAAATAGCTCCAAAATATGCCATTAGGCGGCTTGCTGCACTGAACTCCCAGAGAAATTTATGAAGGCAATTTCCTATGTCCAAATTACCCCACCCCGGGGGTCGACATAGAGAACTCTGCGAAGCTACTGGCTAGGATCTGTACCTAGGCAGTCTCGGCCACGGGGGATAAAATTTATGAACTTGGTGGTTCTGAAGCCCCTGGGAAAGGTCATTTATGGCCGGCCTCGGGGATGGCATGTCCTGAGCGGTGTGGAACCGTAGCCGGAGGGCTTGGTTCCCCCCGGTTTGCTGGGTAACGGCCCACTGCGACGGGCTTGCCCATGCGACTGGTAGGAGCCTGGTGAATTACAGGTGGTGCGCTGCTCCTCTGGAGGGTAATAGTGGAGGTTGAACCTCCACGACGTGCCCAAAGGCGGAGTAGACCTGTAGTGTTATTAATTCACGAGGCAGGGAAGCCTAAAATTTGTCGTTGTTGTTATGTCCAAATTACATAAGGGGAAGAGGATCATGAAAACTCGATCTGCCCATTCTATTGAGTTGTTGGAAACCAAACTTACACTGCAATTGCCCTATGATTTTACTCATTTGGCAAATGGAGGGATACCAAAACATTCTGTCCAAAAGTACGTACCATACGGCATTATAAGCATATTTTATCAATTACAATAATGGTGAAATTTTCACATTAGCAACTGGATATATAGTAAATTATACCAATTAATTAAATTGCTAAAAAAATAAAGATTTAAGAAGTACATTTACTTCTAATCTATTCAGCAGTTAGAATCTGAAAGAAAAATTAAAGATAGTTACAAAATTCCCAATTGTATCATCCCGGAAGTTTAACTATTTGAAAGATATAGAAGATAAATGCTTTTTCTTTTAGTATGTTCTTTCTTATGTTCAGTACAATGGAGCACTTGCCAAATTATTTGGATGATATGTAAATGCATGATAACAAAAAATTTAATGTAATGTCTCTTAACAAAAGAGAAATTTTCCATTAACCTTTCCAAAAATTTTTGGAAAGACTTCAACAAAACCTTATTAATAGTTAAAAAATATGCTAAACATATATTTTTTCAGTAACATATACAACACGTATTTTACCTCATCTTTAAGTTCTTGTAATCTCTGTTCAAAATCATATTCTTTCTGCTTTTCTTCTCTTTTCCGTTTGTTCATTTCCATGCGCTGTTTCACTTGTTCAAGAGTAGATCTTTCTACTCTCATTGACATCCCTAGATTCCTCTGATCTAATAAAAAAGAAAATGAAATTTATATATCAAACAAATGAATATGATAGAAAAGTGTTTATTTCTGTTTTGTTCTTTAACTAATATTAATCTTTTAAAGTTGATATATATAATCCTGAATTAAAACAGTGTATTAAAATTCATGTATTAAATTTTTTTTTAAATCATTGTGAAACATAAAATAAAAACAAAAGAAAAATACAAATTAAACATAAAAATAGCTTTGATAACGTCTTAATTCAAGCGATAAAACTGTACACTCTGCACAAAGGTTAAAAAAAAAAGGGGGGACAGTTTTATAACTCTCATTCTACTGGACCGACGGACGAAATTCAAATTATATTCTCCATGTCTCAAAAGCGCGACTTAGGCTATGTATTAGACATATATAGCATTTATCTAGCATAGGTATTTTGACCCCAAATGGGTCTTTTTCTGAAATAACATACCAATTTTTTCCCATGCTTCAATTCTACAATTCAAATTACGCCAAACTACCATGTCTTGAAAGCGCAACTTAAGATATACATTAGATTTATAGAATATTTCTAACATATATTTTTTTGACATAAAATTGGACTTTTCTGAAACGACATCCCGATTTTTTCCATATTTCCATTCTACAACTCAAATTATGGCAAAGTGTCTAGTTCTGTAAAAAATTACCTCTCAACATTTTAGTCACTCAATGTTAATTAAATTTGATATATATTTATTAATCTCTTTTTTTTTTAAATTAAACTTACTTGATTCCTTCTTTTGCAATTCAAAATTCAGGTTCAATCGAAATCAAATACACACACATTTGCTGATTTTTTTTTAATTTATATTTTTTGTTAATTTTTTATAAATTTTTCGAAAAACTTTTTGAATTATAAACTATAAAATTTTTAACATAACATTAAAAGTAGATATATTTTAGGCATACCAGCAATCAACTAGAATTTTTTATTCAAAATTTCTCAAGATATATGTGAATTTATATATTATCAAATTTTTTTGTAAGCATATTTGTTATAAGTGATGATAATGCCTAATGTAGTTTATGCATTTTGTTACAATTTTCAATGATTTGCAACAGTTAGTTTGAACTTTAAATTTCCAAATAAACTTTCAGTTTCATTCTGAGTTTGTCAAAAAATAAACGTAGTTAACATAAATAAAATCAAATTCTCAAAATATTTATTTTAATAAACATACTTAAAATATGCAACTCAATTAAAATGAAATTCTAAAAAGAAAAAAAAAATCGAATACAATCTATGGTTAAAAAACATAATATAAAAAAATTATTTGAAAAAAAAATGAATGATGCACTTTTTTTTTCACTCCTGCAAAATGAAAGGGAAAGGAAAATTAATTACTATAAATTAAGAATTTCGACAAATTATTCTTGGTGCAAACTGAAAAAAGTTCACCAAGATAAGTTTTTGAATTTCTCACCAAAATTTAATATTTAAGCATAATTTGAGACATAAAATAGAAATATGGAAAACATTAGCACAACATTTCAGAAAAGTCTGATTTTTACCAAAATACCCTACAACAATGCTATTTATAAATCAAAATCAGCTCAGTAGAATAGGAGATAGATATAGAACTTTTTTTTCTTTTCTTTTCTTTTCTTTCTTTTTTTTTTTTTGTGTGTGTGTGTGTGTCTGTAACATACATAAAAGAATAATTTTTTAGCTTTGGGCAATTTTTCTTTGTTTTGAGCATGTTCTCACCAAGAGCAATTTGTATAACTTAAAAAAATATTTATAAACAAATTTCAAATAAATTTTACTGCTTAAGCATAAATTAACCTTTTCCTTGGAATTTCACATAAAAATTCTATTACTTTCTAATATATATATATATATTCAAAATAAAGTAATTAAAAGTAAATTATAAAAAGCCTATGACTTGCGCTAAAGCTGCAAAGTAATAGCAGATTTTTAAGCAAGAAGTTGAAATTTTAAAATTCTAATTTAAATTCTAAAATTTTTTCATTGACGGCTTAAAATTTAATTTCTGTTTCTTAGAAATGGTATGTGGAAAGTTTTCTTATTATAAATTATGTGTGTGTGTGTGTATGTAATTATGGCAAAGCCTCGAGGGCTATCTGCCTAAGAGGAGTGATGCCTTCTTGGAGGACTTTCTAAGGGAAACTGGCTCGTATACACGTTACACATGGGGAAAACCACAAAAACGCACATGCAGCCAGCCCGTTCGCGGGATTCGAACCTCGGACTGAACTACAAGTGTTCAGCGACGTTACCGCTCGGCCGCTGGTGGGCCTTATTATTATAAATTATGAATTTTTGGTTTATATATATACATACATATTATATATATTACCGTACAATTTTTTATTTAAAAACAAATTATTCCAAGTACTTTCATGCAATACGCTGCCGAAAATTGATCAGCACAGTCAAAAAGTAAGAAATTTAGAATCAAACCCTAGGCATCTTTTTAGATTCTAATGCTTTCGCTGCTGTCTCTGTTTTGAAATTTGTAGTTGGTTCAAAATGTTCTCTATTTATTTCTTGAAGATTTTACATTTCTACTTTTTTATTTCAATTTTAATTTTATATTTTGTTAAAAAGTTTCCTTAATTGTTTTAAAACTGGAATTTTTTTCATACGAAATATTTGTATATGTCTCTGACTTTGCAAACATTCAGTAAGTTTTGTATTTTTCAATTCTAATTTCAACTGAAATTGCCCAAGTGATTTCAATTGCTTTATTGGACTTGGAATTTTTACTGCACTACATCGGGGAGGACTTTAAAATTTTCAGATGAACTGTTGTAATTAAATATTTTAGAATGATTCATCAGCTAATTTTGGATACAGAAACACAGTGGTTTACAAGTGGAAGGGGGATTGCAGTTGAGTTCTAGTATATCATCCTCTTGATAATGTTATATCAAATTTGATTGAATTCTTCTTTTGTATTTTTTCTGGTTTTTCTAATTCTTAGGCTTTTAGTATTTCACATTTCTTTAATTTTTATTTTACATAGTTGCAGGGCATTTTGAAATTTATTGGTATTGAATTTCGCTTCTTTTGTGTCTTTGTGAAACTAATTCTAAATTTCTTCCATTTTGTATGCATATGTATATATATATATAAGATAAACATTCAGTATTTACAGCCTCTTTTTAGAAGCTGAGTTTCAAAAGAAATGCTCTTCATAAATGTTTTGTTTACATTTCATGCATGGAATGCCAACTTGCTTACACTAAAAGCCAACAGAGTTTAGGTTTCTTCAAAACAGCCCTTATACAGATTAGATTTATATGGCATTAGAAATTAAAACATGGTAACAGTAGTATTAAAAAAAGGGGGCGAGACGTCATTTTTCTTTTGATAAACTGAGACTTCAGTTCTAGCACTTGTAAGCCGTTCTTAATGCTATTAATCCAACAACTTGTATATGGAATTTAATGGTGGAATTGGCATGGGGATTCAGCTTAGGGAATACTGTAGTGCTGAAGTTTTTGTAAGCAGAGTATTTATTTATTTACCTAGTTTATTTTTGTTTAATAGTACATACATTGTTTAAAAAGTAATATCGCAGGTTGATATATAATTTTTGTTTTACATTTTGATGTTTTATAAAGATTTCTTAAAAAAAAAAAAAAAAAAAAAAAAAAATCCTTTTCATTTATCTCTTTTTTCCTAGCCAAGTTTTTCTCTTGTACTGACTTTTTTTTTTTTTTTTTTGTATGAAGATATATTAAAAAGGATAGTAATTTTGTTAAACAAATCTCAATTAAATAATTCCTAAAGTATTATTCTGTTAGTTACTTATGTGCATACAATCCAAATTTAATGAAAACATGATTAAGAAGTGTACTCAAATCTCAATTAAATAATTCCTAAAGTATTTTTCTGTTAGTTACTTATGTGCGTACAATCCAAATTGAATGAAAACATGATTAAGAAGTGTACTCAAAACTATAATAATAATAATCAATAAAAAAAACCCTATAATTCTTAAAATTCAATAATCCACACAAACCCTTAGTTCTAATGTGTGTGGATTATCATAATTCTTCTATAATACATACCTCTTTAGCTATTACAAATAACATTTGTATTGGTTCTGCTACAAAACATAAAAGCAGAAGTTTCTTTAGATAATCTGGGTAACATTTTTCTAGTCATATAATGACATTTGATAGCATAACTTTATTCACACACTGTGGGTGAAACAATGACTTAGGAATTAGCCTTATCAATTTCAGCATAATATTCTGTATCACAAACTGCAATTTCACCTTGTCATTTCCTTATTAGCAAAATTAAAGTGCATAAACCAGAGCTATAAAACTGAAAATAACATTAAAATAGGGACTCAAATTCAACATGAAAATATTTTTTAGGGCCAAGTTAAATGTTTATTAATAAAACTGATCAATTTATTTACTATAATAATGAATTTGATACTATGATTTAAAAAAAGAGCACACCTATGTAGGATTTGTGTCCAAATTTGAAATTATACACTTGAAATTAAATGTTGCATTACACCTTTAATTAAATATGCATTTTTTTTATAAATTAAAGTGTTTTATAAATTATTATGTAAATAAATCTTTTTATTTAGATAAAGAAATATAAAATCTAATAAGAAATGTGATGTTACTTACGCTTTTTGCCATTGATATGGTCTAAAAAGTTAATGGAATCTTTCACCACACAGTCACACACATTACAGTAATAACTGAAATTAAAAAAAAAAAAAAAATCTTTTTAATTAAATTTATGAACTATTATACACAACAGTAACTAAACATAAAAATATGCAATGATATTTTTCATTACTTATAAAGGTTTTATGAAGCAATGTACAACAAAAAGCTTAATATTATATTAATGAAGCAATGTATAATATAAAGCTTAACTAATGATAACTAGCTTAACTAGTGGAACTGATAATGTATAAAGCTATAATTATTTGTGTATCAAATGTAATTATTTAAAAAAATATGCTATGAAAAATTGTTTATTTAAAAAATATCCTACGAAAAATTGTTGCAAAATATAATAAATACAATTAAAGTGGTGAATTTCTTTATGAAACATTATATGGAAGCTAAAACAGAAACAAAAATATTATAGCGTGGTTTACGATTACTAGTCATAACATATTCCTATAAGAATAAGAACTTGTTTCAAATGAGCTTCTCATAATCTAAAGGCCTTGGTAAAGTATATATTTCCATAGTAGAATCCACAAAATGAGGTGAAGATGTTCTGTTGTTGTTGCCTTATTGATGTGGTCAATGGCTGTGAATCATTAAAGTGTGATGTGGTGATTTCAAGGCGTGGAATATAGTTGTGGAAGATTAGATTGTAACAAAAATCGAGCGCATACTCCCGGATAATTTACTATGCTGTGAAGTACCTGCCTAATTAAATGAACTGTTATGTAGACTCAACTCATGTTATATCAGCCAAGTACATTCATCAATCATTCATCATATGGTTTTACTAATGTGTCATAGTCTGACATGATATCCTCATCTGTTTTGTTAAACTCAAGGCAACAATTAAATCTTTTATTTGCAACTTACAGCAAGTGTACTTACTCCTTTGGTAGGGAACCACAAAGTAAGTTGACACTACCTCATATCAATCTCAAGAACCTCAAAAATTAAAATAACAGCTTATAGGCCAATGTACTCATGTCCCCCAAATGCTCAAGAAGTCCAACAGAGAAACACATCCAAACAATAAGTTGAACATCAGTGTTTTTTGGTAGAAAACAAGGTAAGCAAAATTACTGTTTCTCCTTTCCTTGGTTTTACTGAAATTGTACGTAACTGATGAAAATGATGAACCCAAATATTTAAATGGAGGACTTGGATAACGGTAACTTTATGGTGATTTCAAAGTGAAAATGGTTTTAATTCAGTCAGAACTTTGGGAAATCGGAAGTACGCATTTGGTCAAGCCAGAAACTTCTGAAACTAATCCAGCCAAACTTGACAAGTGGCTTTCTAAAAATCAAAATGCTTTAGCAAGTTTTTATCTAAGCGAGAAATCATCTGAGATAGTACATATTAACCCTTTGCACTCAAGGAGCTTTTCTGTCGGGTGAACCAGCAACTTGAGAGTAATCAGCCACTCCCGCTTATATCATGAGTTCCTTATTGTTAACTTAAAATAATTTTAGGCACAATAAAACACTTTAAACTCATATATTTTAACATTATACATATTTTTTTTTAACTTAATGAAACATATGTATTAAAACATTACGTTCTAAAATTTTGCTTCGTATGATATTTTACAAAACAATCTCCAATATGCATCCTTGGCTTGTCGGGGAATGTGTCACAGTAGTTTTTGGAACGTTCTTTGGGAGCAAACCTTGCAATTTTTTTTTTTTTTTTTTTGCCCCATCAAAATAATATGCAGCTTCCCATTTAGTCAGATCGCTTCAGAAATGCTGTGTGAAGTAGAAGCTGTGCTGGGTTGTTTTTGTCGAAAGTCTCCTCTCAGTTGATCCACTAAACTTTTCAAATATTGTAGGTGACTAAGTGGCCGTTCGTTTCTCTGCTTCTTTACTGATTTATAAAGAATGTATGAATTGATGGAGCAGATCTCCAAACACCTAAAAAATAGTTTTCGCCACCATTTTACGGATTTTCTTAAAAAAAAAAATGTCAAAGCCAGTTGGTCAGCTCGATCAACACCGCTCATAAATTTGATGTAATTTACAATAACATTGGGCTTTTTCATAACAACTTCAATACCGAGTCGTAGAGTTCTTCTTACAGGAGTTATTCCCGCATTATTCCAAGTAGTCAAAGCTGTCACAATCATCTTGTCCTTCCACGCGAGAACCAAAATATTACCTTTACGATATGCACATGTGGTTCGATTCTCAAATTTTGGCTTTCGTATTTCACATGGCAGGTGCGTTTTATTTGTCATGATTGTCCCAGTTTAGTGGCACTTTTGTTTGCGTAATTCTTCCGCCAATATGTAACTCGTATAATAACAGTCCGTGAACATGTGGTGTCCCTGAACACCGGGAATTTTATCCTGTATCATTTTTGTATAGATGTAGCGGTATTCTGGTTGATACCGGTAGATCAGGTCTTATTAAAGTCTTTGTTTTTAGAGATCCATAAACGACAGAATAGCACAAATGAAGCCGGTATTTTTTGAATATGTGAGTGTATAAAACCCGAATACCCCATTTGTAAGGTTTCATTGTATTGTACGTAATGAATGATATGCGGCCTTTGAATTTACAGTCGACTCATCCACACAAATCTGCTTTCCGGGTACAAACTAATTCAAGAACCTTTCATTTACATACTCGAGGAAACCGAATACTAACTGCAAATAGGTTCTAGGGTTTGTGTTTTCTGAGGGTATTGTCTTGAGGTGAAGTCTCCAAAACATTTGACAAAATCGGTCTCTCGTAAACGTGTCTGAGTAAAACGGAATATAACTAGTATCATTTTTCGACCAGTATTTTTGTATGTTTGCCAGTGGCATTGTCCCTATATTTATGATTGCCCCAATAAACGCCCAAAATTCAGTAACTGTTACATCGTACCATGATCGCCATATAGAACGGGATGATAAGGTCTTCCCTTCCACCTTCCTTGCAGCGTTATTGTTAGTTTCCTGCACTATGTCAGTAACTAATTCCTTGGTGAAAAATAATTTGAATATTGTACTTTTATGTGTACAAATTCGTGCGGTCCAACTTGTCTTTCACCGGATACAAACGGTATTCTTCTGGGGATTTCTTCGGATTTTGTTCACACTGTCCATTCTGAAGGTTCAGTCTCTTCTGTACAATCACTTTGGCTTCCAGATTCACTATTGATTATTCAGATTTTTGTCTTCTTGCTCCCCTAACGTCGTCACTATATTTATCATTTCCATTTTTGTTCTCATGGGCAAGCTGTCTATGTAGTGATGTAATTTCGTTCGTTATTGCCGAAAAATTAAACTCATCTTCGCTAGAAGTAATTTCTTCGTCGTGTTCCATACTTATTGGGCTCAGTAACTTTGAAAGAAATACTGCGAACAGCAAGAAGGTTGAGTTCGAACTGATGTCGAAGACAAAGTCCTACCCGCAGTCGCAAGTATTTTTGAGATAAGACATTTAATCGCATAGGCATTGCAAAGACAACCTTTATTTGAGTTAAGACATTCTTATAGCTATTCAGACACCTTGTAATATGACCTACAAAAGGCCAAGTAGATCTCTCAAGCAATATTCCTTAGGTCAAACACAAATAAACACATCAAGTCGAATGGTGCCTCTCAGGCACCATTCTCTCAGAATTATTTCTCAGAATTTTATTTTAAATCTTTATAACTGCAAATCAATTACATATGTAATAACTTAAAAATTTTTTCAACTGTCTAATTTTTCAGCACGGCAGATCTTGTATATAGAATATTCTTGTATTCTTGTATATAGAATTTAAAGGTTTATTACAAATTATTCCCTTCTTTTTAACTTCAAGTTAAAAATACTGAACCGCTGGAAGTGGTTTTCGACAGCCACAGCAATTTCCTCTCCTCCCCATCCCTTAATGCACAAAGAAGAGTGAAGATTTCAGATGACACCCTTTCTAACAAATAAAGATAAGTAACCACAAATAAATCCTTTTAGGGCAAGCTGTCTGCAATAAACTGATACAATGTATTTGGAGAAACTGAACCTGCTACTGCATACCTTAGGGGAGGGAAGAAAATAACATCAGAATTTTGGCGTTAGAATAAAAGGCCCTCTGGGTCGTTATGGTCAAACAAAAGAAAGCTTACAAGACATTACATTTAAAGAACATGCACTTTAATTCAAACACAAAAATAAATAAATAAATAAATAATAATAAAAAAAATATTTAACATACCCTCCAGTTTGTGAGGCAGGTGTGGTTTTGGTGATTACAGTTGTTTTTCCTAGTTTTGATTCTAAATCAACCTATAAAAAGCAATTGCAATTGTTATTGCTGACTAAGTAATATATTTTTTTTTCAGTGCACAGTTTAATACTTTTATAATTTAAATATACATAATGTATGTAAGTATATGTGCACAATTTATGAATCTAAGAAAACTATTTTGGCTTGTATAACTTTACACATTTATTATAGGTAAAATAGTGCATATTCTGAATAGCACACAAAAGAAAAATACGATTCTGATAATGTATTATATAAATTTACATTAAAAATATTAATATACTATTCTTACTACAAATTTTCTTAAACTAATCAAAATAAGAATGAAGGTTTATTATAAAATAATACTTGGCATGAGTTTGCATAGAAAGTGACATAATTCAATAAGCATTAAGTTAAATATACATAACAGAATATCTGTCAAAACAACATAACAAATAGAATTCCCCTTACTTTTACTTAAAAATAATTTTTTTATATTCAATCAGTCACTTTTTTTTTGCAGTAACTTACAAGAAATCTCTCATAAAACCTTCAGATGTTAAAAGCAGTATACAATAAATATACCTAGAAGAGTACCTTTTTCTTTTAGATTCAATCAATTATTAATTTTTTTTTGTATTCACAAAAAAAATTCTCATAAAATCTATGTATGTTAAAACAAGGGTTATAAAATGTAAATAATTAATATATTTATATTAATAAACATAATTTTGAATCTGTTTTCTTTTATATATTATTAACAATAATTGCTACATCTAGAATGTTTTGTGATGAGTCAAAATAACATAAAACTTGTTCATCGTGAATGCAATAGTTATATGACCAAAAAAGGCCACTAACATGATGCAGAACTTTAAACTTTTTTTCACTTTGCACTTTTAATTCACCTACTTTTCTGCATCTAAATTGTAATATTTCCGGTAACTTTACTGGCAAAGATTAGGCAATGAAGTACACACGAATTTCCTATAACTTTTAAAGCTCTAGCAACAATTATTGAAAAGTTCACTTAATTTGATTTCAGACGGATAGATAGCATTTTAATTTCAAACTGCTTAGCAATTCTTTTACACATTCAGAATCTGAAGCAAAATCTGAAAAGAATGTTCCCATAATACCCAAGTTAACAAAATTCTCCTTTTCCCTTTTCAACACTTCTTTTAAGTTTTACTTAAATTCTAAAATTTTTTGCATCAATAACATTATTTTATCTCATAGCTTCTCAATTTCATTTGCCTGCTGGCATCCAAATAATTGCTATCATCAAAATTTTAAAAATTAGTTATATATGCAATTTTTTAACCTTAGAAAATAAATTAAAACAGACAATAATTAAAATATATATTAAATAAACATAATATTATAAATATTAATATTAAAATTAATTATAATATTAAAATACATAATAAGTTTATAATATTACATAATAAATTACAATATAATAATAATATAAAACTATTAAACATATAATTTAAAACTAAAACATTAACATATAATTTTAAACTAAGTTCTTTATTATATTCAAGCAATGAAGATGGGTTCATACAGAATTTAGTAAAAAAAAATCATTACTGAGAAATCAATCATTACTGAGAAATCAATCTAATGCAAGCTATAATTTTTATATGTTAACATTCAAACAAACAAATCTTCTGGTTTTTAAAATTTAAGATAGATAATATTTAATTTTCACCCTATATGATTGTGTGAATAAAAGGTGAATGTTATACTGATGAAATATGGACCAACATGTATGAAGGATTCATTGACGTGATTTAGCATACTTTAGTAAAAGGATATGTCTGTAACATTTGTCTGCATAAATGAATATTTAAGCATTCATTTAAAACATGTCTATATGCTAGATGTTTCAAGCATACTCTTCAATACCCCATACTTGCATTAGACTAATAATGCCTTTTCAGATTCTCTTAACCCCTACATTAGTGGAAACTATATTTTATGCCTGGCTTATTCAGCATATGGTACATAGGCTGCAGGCTGGCTTATTAAAGACTTTAATTCAGCCCATTTAAAAATTAAAAAATCCTCATGGTTTAAAAAAGAAACTTCCCACCAAATCCTTAAAATTATTAGTAAGAAATGAATTTTAAATTCATAAGATTTAATTTTGTAGTTCACTTGTGATGTTTTTAGTTATAATTGTATTTACTACAAAAATAGAACACCACAGTTATAAAAATTTGTAATGTCTAATTTTATGGATAACTTGAATGTTTTTACTTCTTTTATTTATATATTTATTTTTAAACAATATACAGCAACAACTGGCCAATAAGTTCCATACAAAAGTTTTAAATAATCCTTCACAAAGAAAGGTAAGCAACTCTATGGTTTTTTTTTCTACATTATCAAAATAAAAATGCATGATTTCACAATAGCTAGTCCAGATGAAATTTCTCTGCTAGAAAGTAATACAGTACAAAGTCCAAAATCCGGACTCGTCGGGACTTCGGCGATTCCGGATTTGGGATTTTTCCAGATATTAGATTATCAATTTAAATCTGGTAAGATGGCATGTATAAATTGTACAATCACGATCTAAAGGGTACCAAAATTTACACACACACACACACACAAAAAAAGGGGGGGGCTAATATTTAGTTGTTTACTTTATTAAACATTTCTTTCGATGTAAGTTGTTTAAGTTGCTTCCACAAAAAATTCAAAAAGTTCCTTTTTCTTTTTTCTTCTGTCACAGTTGACTTTCCAATACCACACTCCTCGCATAATTTTGAGACGGATATGTCTTTATCCATTCCCCCCCCCCCCCCAGCAATTCCACTTTTTGTTTAATGGACATCGAAACATGCTTTCGCTTTGCAGATTCTTTGGCAGCTCCAGAATTGGAAACTCTTTTGAACATAATCGAAAGTTTAAGCTTAGTTTTTATAAAATTGCCGTAATAACAACAGTCTGCAAAAAATAATAAGCTGGATCAAACTAGAAGATTAGGGAACAGCACAGTCTGCTACATTAATTGAAATGTCTTAAATTCAGTAAAGATAATTTTAGCCTAGCTTAATAGCGTCCGTGCATCACAAGACTGGCGACGAAAGCCAAGTTGTTTCGCTAAATTTAGTCTTGCTCCTATTGCGTACTGAATTAAGCTTTAATTGTATTAGTTATTTACTATATCTATGTTTATTTCTTGCACATGCTTAAAATTAATCTGAGTCCTGAATAAATTAACTCCCACATATATTTAACGTTTTATATAGGGCCGGTGCTCCATACCGCCTGGTGCAGTCTCTACGGGTCCTAAATTCTGCTACAAAGCGCCTTCCTACTATCTAAAATTTCACTACACCTAAACTTTGCATCTCAATGCTTTCCCGAATTCCAAAAATTTTGTCTTCTCTAATTTTTGCCGTCCAGTGACAACATATTCTGCAGCTGCTTCTGGATTTATGGTGAATAACATATTAGCTGTTCTTAATTAAAATAGCACTAAATGTAATCTTTTGGCCTATGAGTTTCATAACAAAATCTATTTTTAGCATATGAAAAGAAATTTTTGTTGACTTTTTTCTCATGAACATTTCTTAGAGAATTTAAAAATCTATAATCATTGCCATGCATAATGTTAGCATAAAAGGTTGCCATATGCTTGTTATTCAATTACTAATATAAAAAAAAAAAAAAAAAAAAAACCACTTAGACATCACTGCATGAGTTATTGCTGAAGCTGTCATGTATTGATAAACATGCGGTGATGAAAGCAAAATATAATAAATAATGACTTGCCAGGTCAGCGTCAGGGATATAAAATAAGTGAATGTTTTGGTTTGAGATGTATGCCAAGCAGATACTCGGCTACAGATCCAAATTATTAATCTCACAAATTTATGCTTACACAATTGTTTTTCCATAACGAGGTGTTTTATTTAGTGCCTAAGTGAAATTAAGAATTGGAATTTTTAAGTGAAAATCTCCACATGTTGTATTATGGAAGGAAAAATCAAATGCGTATGCGTAAAGCATACAAAAAAAAAGTTGTGGCGATTAGGTCCGGATTTTAGATCATTCCGGATTTTTAGTTATTATACAGTACAAAGTCCGGATTTCGGACTTTGTACTGTATAATAACTAAAAATTAATTATCTAAACAAGACTGTACCTCAAATTCTGCCAACAATGTTAAAGTATAATTTTAATAGCAAATTGGAGACAATTACGATTTACTAGAAATTTTACATAGTCTATTTGGTATCATTTTGCGGCCGCAGGTGATAAATTCGCCAAAAATGGTACAAACAATGCCAAACGAAATATCCTTGCTGGTAAGCTATTACGCCCTTCAGTGATTAGAAATTTTACTTGAACATTATGATGTTATCATTATTATAGATATATATCATGTAACTTTTTAAATAATATGATAGTGATTTTCTGCTGCATCATGATGGTAGCTGAAGTTGGAAACTTGATGTTATGCATATAACATGTTATCTTTACAATTTACCTATTTTTAAGGATTATAATACTAATGCCTGTTTATATGCATTTTATTTATGTGGCCATATGTAGAAAACATTCTTTTATCACAAACCATTAACTGATAAAATTATTTATGTCTTCTTTTAAATTTTTTTTGTATTTAAATTTAGACCAGGTTTTATTGATAAAAGATAGATGTAAAAATCTAAGATTTAGTGCATTAAATAATTTAATTAACTGATTATGATATTTTTAAATCATTATTTTAATAAACTAGAAAATTGTTATGAAAGCAAAGGATTCAACACATAGCAAATGGCTTTCCTAAAAATTGTGTGTATGAAATTATACTTATCTAAAGGACACTGGAATTTAAAAAGGTATAGAAAATACCCCCACTGAAATGTTTCATTTTGAAATCGTTTAATTATAGATTTAAAATACTTCAGCTCAGCCATTACTATACAGATAGATAAATGCAGTACTATATTCTTTGTGTTTTATACCAGGATTTCTTATTAGTAGGTACTTTTCCATTTTGCCAGCGCAGGCAATAAAGTCGCCAAAAATGGTACAACCGATGCCAAATACTTGCTGGTAACCTATTACGCCTCATTTTCAAAACAAGTCGCAGCCATTTCTGATCAGATTGATCATTTCTTTCAATACTGGCATACAATTACATAGAATTTTTACCAGATAGTTCAATTTTATGCCCTAAGGCCATTCGCGGCAATTCAGTCAATTAGGATGCAATCACACCGCTCGCCCAAAGGCGAAAATATAGAAAAGGCAATGTCTAGGGTTAAATTCAGCAATTCTAACAACCGGCGAATCAGGTTGTTGTACCATGAAAGCATAGTAAATTCTTAAATTAATGCCTTTTTACAAAATTTTAAACAATATTAAAATGTTTATGCCTTCAAAATAAAAAATTCATAGAACTAACATTTGTTAAAAATTTTTTATGTGTATACTGTGTGTTGTCGCCAATAAAGTCTGTTTGGCGAGATTTGCGCCGGCGAAATGAAAAAGTACTGTCTTTTCTTTTAAAACAAACACCAAAATTATTGACTATTAAAAATAAGTATAATAATAACTAAGCAATGATTCTTTCAGAGTGTATAATACTTTTCTTGCTTAAATAACTTTTCAAGTTTTAGAGGAATTAAAAATTCTACATAATATTTCACAACTTATTACACATAAAAAATTTACATACTACTGAAAAGATAAAACATATTTCTGAACTATACTCAGTTTAATATAATTTTTGTTTTTCACAATGCAAGTAAACACAGACATGCATACCATTACAAATTTTAAACCAGTTTTACTAACTGGTAAACCAGTTTTACTTAAACCAGTTTAGTTTTTAATAGTTTTAAATACTAACATTTTCTAATTTTAATTTGCAGTAGTTTTACATTTCCTTAATTACATTTATAGTGTGTGCATATATATATATATATATATGATAGAGAGAGAGAGAGAGAGAGAGAGACACTTTCCACTTTATGATATAAGGTTCCTCGCACCTCATCTAAAATGAAACGTCGAGGAACCTAGTGAAATATGAAGCCACTTATCATTGAGTTCCAACAACTAAGATATAGACTCAAGGGTTAAAGTTCCTCTTTATTCACACACATAAGAATGACAGTCGATCCCTTCTCGGGCTTACAGGAAAGCCTTTACTCGGGCTTTAACTCAGAATAAGAAAAGTAAAAAACTAAACGAGTCTTAGCCGAAGCTAGACACAATTTTCTAACATAGTTGGCCCCTAAATTAAACTAGCTGCCGAATACCAGTAGGCATGTACAATATAGCTGAGCGTAACAGCTTCAAGAATGACTTAGCCAGAAGGCAAATATGCACTACTAAGGACTCCTAGCACTCTCTATTGAAGTACGTTGAACCTTCCTTAAATACTATTATAACTCATTTGCATTTAATGCGACTCTAAAAACTCATTCTGGTAGGGAGTTGTAAGTCGAAACAAGAGTTGATAGGAAAGGGTGTCAAAATTAAAATAACTGTTATAAATTAAACTATAGATTACAATGAAATTTCACAGATACAAGCAAACCTGTTCTCAAAAAGTGAAATTTGTTCGGGAGTCAAAAAGAAAATAAACAGTTGTACAGAATGTCATACAATGCTATTATCTTATTTATAGAGCCAACTTGTTTAGCCAAGTATTTTCTGAAGAAATTTGTTGTTGGCTAACTTCTTCCATCTCTCATATAGGCTCCTCATCATAAATGTCCTATTTTACCTGTGGAAGAGCCTTCACAGGATGAATCAAACATTAGCCTCGTCCCATTCACATATGCCTTAAAGACAATAATCCAAGATATATACTGTTTACTACATTATTTACAATGAAATTTATTAACCAAGTAAAATTTTCCGAACAAATTTATGGGGCGCATGTACAGTGGGGAAAATCTGTGTATGTGCACCCCCCTCAAAAAAAGAGTAATATAAAGTTGGTATTTCTACTTGAGTATTTCTTAATAAAATTATTTCATTTACAATAACAAACAGAAATTCTGAAACTTTACCCGATAATCTCTTGGCTTGAGAAATTCACGACGAACTGGAGGCTGTTTTTCAGTTTTCCAATCTAAATCTAAGTCATCCTCTTCCAACAACCGCTCTTTTGCCAGCTTCTCATATTCATCTCTATCCCACTTCCTTCGGTAATCATCTGCTCTCTACATGAAAAAGAAAATAAGTAATGATTAAAGCACAAAACTGGTTGATTATATTACCATAGAATAAAGAAAATGAGCTGGAAAATAACACCTTGTTGACCAACAAAATTAATAGTAATTTTATACAGTCAAAAGTCGTTAATCCGGACTCGTCGGGACTTGGACGATTCCGGATTATCGATTTCTCCGGATTATAGATCATCAGTTTAAATATGGTAAGATGGCATGCAGAAATTACAAAATTAAAAATATGACCGTAATTTATGAAATAAAGAACAATTATGATCTAAAGGGTATCAAAATTTACAAAAAGAAAAAGCTTAATATTTATTTGTTTACTTTATTAAACATTTCTTTCAATGTAAGTTGTTTAAGTTGCTTCGTTTCACGTGATAATACTTTCTCTTTAATTCTATTAAACAGACATAATTTCTTGTTTAGTTACAAAGTTCCGCTGTTCAAGTCCTATAATTGCTGTGTTGAGAATACCAACTAATTTGTCAATAGAAATTTTTTCGTTTCCAATAACCTCTGTGTCACTTTCTTCACTATTGGAAGCGAATTATAATGACGAGGAACTTGATTTAAATCATATCAAAGATGGAGTACATCGAGATGAAATACTACATTTAGTAAGGAATTATAAGCCAAATAAAATAAAAACATCTGCCCTGAAGATAAGGATAGTGCTGACAGATCAACTTCCAATTCATTGTGCGCCGCGGCTTTAGGAATGAAACAATTCATATAATCTTTTTAATGTAACAAGATTACACAATTTGTTATTGATAATGAACAATCCAAATACATTTTATTGATTATTAAAAATTACTTCATTAATAATGATATTTCTGACAATTTTAGTTATTCAAATATATAAATATAGATTATTTATTTATTTTTCTAGTAAGCATGAATGAAACTTTATTAAATACATTTAGATACTGAAGTGTCTGGAAAGTATGAAAATGCTAAACACTTCTTCGACTCGGATAAGATTAATATTTTTTTACATCGAATTCCACAAACAGAAAATCAGTCACTGTTTTTCAGATTTTTTGGTGGCTTAGTGTTACCACTCTAATAAAAGAAAAATCACATGCGAAGAGTTTCACAGATGGTGCTTCAGTATTACAAATTATGTCCACACCCCCCTTTCCAGTGATAGCATTTTATCTCCATTAATTTTAACACCAGACATCCATTCCTTAAGAATTTTGGGAAAAAGTATTTTCTTCTATACATAGCTTATCCCATACTGGAATTCGTGCAACAACAAAGCTGGTGACAAAAACATTCATTTGGTCTAGCATAAACAAAGACTGTAAACTGCAGTCTAGAGTATGCTTTCAATGCCAACAAACTAAAGTTCACAAATATACCCATATTCCAGAAACTCTTTGTGTGTGATTTTTCTTTCCCCAGAGTATATATCACAAATGATGTCGCCACAGATACAATAAACATTTAACATTCTAATGAAATGAAGTTTGCTATTTGCAAGGCTGTACTTGCAATCATAAAGCCTGCCAGGCAAAAGCTGCAGCCCCACCTTGTTTGTGGCCACATTTTAAAATTTTATTCCTCATAAATATCAATAAGTATCCTAATTATGCAATAGACTCCCCATTAACTGACGTAATAAAAGGAATTACACACACAGTTAATACTAAATGAGGTTAATCCAACAGAATCTGGAAAAGAAACTATATTATAATTAACAGAAATACTCTTACTTATACTTTTCTGTATTCTGAAGCAGTTTGATATGGAGAATAAGTTTATTTGGATATGAAAATTAAATCAGCATTCAAAATGAGAACAACATACTTTAAAACAGAAAAAACTCTGCTGATGATTATATTATTCTTGTACATATTTTGAAAGTAGTGTATAGGAGTAGAATATTTAACAATATTTATATATTCTAAGTTATTTACGATTAGTTTGCATCCCATTGTGGCTAAAAACGATTCCTAAATACTGTGAGACTATCTATTACCGCTGTTATCCCATGAATTTTTTCCTCCTTTTTCCTTTCCATTAATCTTTTCCCACAGAAATTTTGCTTTATTCTAATGGTTTGTAATAATAAATTTTTCAACACTGTGCAGTAAAAAAACTTAAACATTTTTTTGAGGCAAGACCCAGTTAATCACTTTAACTTAATCAGGGAGTTGACTGCAACTGTGAAATAAAATAATTTTTACTTTTTTTTTTAATATTAATTTCACAAAATGAAAACTACAGACATCTGGAAAATATGTGACACCTTTCTGATTCACTTGAAACACACTGTTCTTTTCTTTGAATAAGAATAAATAATTAAAATTCAAGTGCATGAGGATATCACTATAATGGAAAAACAATAAAATCTAGCAGACAATTAGACAGCACTAAGCAGACTTATTAGGTAAGGTGCCATAAATTATTTATTTCATTTTGAGCAATTAATCGAATATCTTTACAGAATATTATGAAAAGAAAACCACAACAATAAAAAATTTTTAAATATACAGAAATATCAAAATTTGATTAAATAAAAACAGTTATAGAGATCTGGTATACATGCACACACAAAAAAAGTAACTCCAACGTATTGTCTCACATGATATTCTCTCTCAGAGTCTAAGTTTTTGCATTTTAATTAAAATACATTTGAAAAATACTTACACTGGAGGATGCCATTATTTCTCAACTGTTTCTCACTTCTCTAACTATTCACGTTTAACTGCTTTCAGACTTTACAAAAATATCTACAAAAGAAACACAAGTTACTTAAAAACTGATATAATAGAAAAGAAAGATATGAAAAACTGATGCAATGGAAATTCATTTATTTTTTAAAAAAGAAATAGGAATATTAAACATTAAAATTTTATTTGTCATGTTGGGATACTTTTCTTGTAATACATACTTCTGCATACAGTACTACTCTTATATACACCCACAGATGTATGGTGTCGCCCAATATGGCGATATGTGTTCTGCACTGGTTTTGGGCACGATGTTGTTTATATGGCAACCCTTTTGACGTTGAAACTTGATTTTGTTGGAGTGGTTTTATTTGCTCCTTGGTTTGTTTGGTGGGCGTTTTGAAATGGCTTATGTTGCAATGAAAGACGTGGTGGCAAAATTTCAATCGAACATTTTGGATTGTGTGCAAGGTAAATTTAGTACTAAAAGGTACGGCCGAAATTTTATTCATGAATGTATGCTCTGTGTTTCAGAAGATAGGAAAAAAGGATAAAGTGGTGAAAATTGACGAGTTTTGGTGATGTTTGAAATTGATATTTCTGCTGTTCGAAAAAGCATTCACAATGGTAAGTGCATTTTATTTTACTGTTCTTATTTTGTAGACTGTTATGTTCATTATTTTTTTTCGCTACGGATTTATGTTGTTGTTGTTTTTTGAATTGTTTGTAATTTATTTTGTTGATTTGTGCACAATGACGAGGCTGTGCAATTCGCTGATTTTTTTAAAGTTAAAACAGAATGCTGTGTACATGGTATTGTTTGAAATTTATTGTTGCTAGCTAGTTTATTTTAGCGAGGTGAGCGCAATTCCTAGATTCCTACGCTGCATAGATTGTGCAATTCTCTGATTTTTTTTTTTTTCCAGTTAAAACAGATTGCTGTGTGCATGGATTCTAGTCAAATATTTTTGGTTAGAAACTTTAGGTTTTTGCTATCTAATTTTTTTTGTTTCGGATTTTTGGCATGAATTGTGTTAAAAATGTGGTTTCTGCAGACATTTAAACCTTTTAAATGTCATGCCCGAGATAGCTGGTGTTCGAAAATGTCACGCCCGAGTATTACTCGGGGTAATTTTTTTTGAGTGTATCGTATTGTTATACCCGAATATATATTGGGAGACGTTTTTTTTATTTCGGCTTCATCTCTTTGTCAAACCCGACTGTATCTCGGGAAAAGTTAATGTGCGCTCAGTTCAATAGATGACAGCTCTTTACTGAAGATTTCAAAGGTTAGAGGATGTTGATTGGATTTTTGCAATAAAAAAAATTGACAATTTGTGTACCCAAATCATCAAAATAACTTGACAGTTAAAGGGTTAAGCTTAAAATTCGAAATGTAGACAAAAAATTTAGATAGTAGTTTGGCACCATGGAGTTTCTCGCCAAAAATATAAATTTGTTGCCAACAGATGGCGCTGGTAAGAGTAGCTTGCAGGGTATATGTTAATTATATTTAAAGATAATAATTAATTAAATTAAGAGGATTCTTTTTTTTAACTATTCATTGAAAGTATGAATATTAGCAGTACTTTTATCTGAAGAACAAAAAAGAGCATGTTTATCATCCAGTACTTGGAGCCCTTAATTCCAGCAGGGATACTAATACAGGGTTTGTACACATTTCTGCACATGGAAATTAAGTACTTAAAGGACCATTAATGAAAAAAAATGGTACAACTCTGATATACGCCCTAATTTCACCAAATGTGGCGATATATGTTCTGTGCTGGTTTTTGGCATGATTGCGTGTTCTATGGCAACCCTGTTGACGTTGAACAATCTTTCGCTGGAGTTCGTTGATTCGCATCTGTGTCCGAGTAGATGGGAGGGAGAGATAAAATGGTAGAAGTTGTTGAATTGAAGTTCGGCAAAAGGGAATATCATTGTGGCCATCCTGTTCAGGGGTAGTGGGTATTTGGAGGTGTGGAAAGAGGGTCTGGGAGATTTTTTTTAATGGCTGTGCATGAAAGAAGTAGGGATTTGTGATTTTATTTATTTGTGAACCATAGTATGAATTTTCTGGAGTGTGTCTGGCTGTCATGTAAATAGGATAGTGATTACGTTGTGGCATGTTTTAAGTCAGTATGAAATTGGTATTTTTGCTGCTCGAAAAAAGCATTAATTCATGGTAAGTGCATTTTATTTTATTCTTGTTCTTATTTTGTAGAATGTTATGTTCATTGGTTATTTAGTATGAATTTCTGTCGTTATTGTTGTTTTTGAAACAGAACACTGTGTACATGGTATTATTTGAAATTTATTGTTATTATGCTATTTTATTAAAGCGAGGTGTGTGTAGATTGTAGATTCGTTCCTTGCCTAAATTGTGCAATTCGTAGATGTTTTTTTAAGTTTAAACAGGATGCTGTGTACATGGTATTCTTTGAAATTTATTGTTATTATGCTATTTTATTAAAGCGAGGTGCGTGTAGATCGTAGATTCGTTCCTTGCCTAAATTGTGCAATTTGTAGATGTTTTTTTAAGTTTAAACAGGATGCTGTGTACATGGTATTCTTTGAAATTTATTGTTGTTATGTTAATTTATTAAAGCGAGGTTGGCGTAGTTCGTAGATTTTGTTCGTTGCCTAAATTGTGCAATTCGTAGATGTTTTTTTTAAGTTTAAAACAGGATGCTGTGTACATGTATTCTTTGAAATTTATTGTTATGTTAATTTATTAAAGCGAGGTGTGCGTAGTTCGTAGATTCGTTCCTTGCCTAAATTGTGCAATTCGTAGATTTTTTTAAAGTTTATACAGGATGCTGTGTACATGGTATTCTTTTAAATTTATTGTTATGTTAATTTATTAAAGTGAGGTGTGCGCAGTTCGTAGATTCGTTCGTTGCCTACATTGTGTCATTCGTAGATTTTTTTTTAAGTTAAAACTTGTCGCTGTGTACATATATTCTTGTCAAAATATTTTTGGTTAGAAACCTTACGTTTTTGCTATCTAAATTTTTTGTTTTTCAGATTTTTAGCTTAAATCGTGTGTTCAAAACATAGTTTTTGCATGTGCGAAAACCGCGTTTTTGGAGACATTTTAGGCTTAAAGTTCGAAATATAGACAAAAAATTTAGATAGTAATATGGCAGCGTGAAGTTTCTCGCCAAAAACGTTTGGCAAGAAATTTGGTGACTATCAGGGCGCATATCAGAGTAGTTCCAAAAATTTTAAGGATCCATAAACAAATGGCTTCACTTTTGTGGTTCCATCCTATTAGTAACAGGAGACTGGCTGTTGCTTGCCTAGAGAGAGATCTGCTGATTAGAACAAACCTGAAAGCCCGATGTAGGCACAGTTGGCAAGTTTTGAAAGTTAATTGTGCTCTGCCCATCTGACGCAGTTAGTGTCATAACTTCCTGTAGAGTTCCTAGGGTTGTAATCCATTTAATATATTTTAAGGTTCCAATAAGCCACTAAAGCACCATAGGTGATAAATTTGTTTTGAATTATTTTAAGACTCACTAGATGCAAATAATTAAGTTTTACATTTTTTTACTGTATCTTGTGACTACGGTAAAGATTAATGAAGAGCAATAACTCACTTTAATATGCAGAGATAACTTTTAAGGGTGACCAATTAGTTGCAAATAATTAAATTAGCTAGTTAGCTACCTTTAGTCATTACAGATTTACATGGACACTATTAAATTTATTTTTAAAAAATATCTATTAAAAAGTACTATTAAAATCACAATCTATTAACATGTCACACACAGTTTAAAATACATGTAATTTATGACATTGATTCTTAAGACAAAATTAAGATAATTACACATTAAAAGCTAAAAACATTTATGCTTTGTAGCAACAATACTCAACAAAATATTTATGCATCTTTTTAAATGGAAGCCTTCCCAGACATTCTGGCTAATTTATATCAATTTTCTTCTCTTTAAACATGTTTTCTAACAACTAGAAAATTTTTTTTAGTAAGCAAACCAATATTCCTACTAGTTACTACGTGATTTATCTCCTAACTTAAAAATAAAGTTAAAAAGTTAAATAGTCCAATACCTCTGTCAGACGTGAAACAAATTATCGCTGTCTGAAAGTAACTAAAAAGTCTGATAAAGGATTAAATAAACTTCTTATTTAAAAAGACCTTAGAACATAAAGGCATGTTCTTATGCTAGCAAAATCAACTACAGCTTATGGTGATCCAATTAAACAGGAACAGTCAAATTCAAACTAAAAATATAGACTAGTAGTCTACACAATTTAATTTTAAAATAAACTGGCTCAGTTATTCCATAACAAATTCAAATATCGGTAACAATACCGCAAAGACGAATAATTACAAATTACCAGAGTTGGTAGAAACTAATGTAGGGTGCAAGCGGAGGATAAAAACAAATTCTGTCTTACTAAAAAAACTCAGTTTAAAAGCTATCTAAGTAATTTTTATTCTGATGAGGAAAAGGAAAATTATAGCATGGGCTGAAATTATAAACAACTGCTTAATTTACATAATAATAACTGTACATATCTTTCAAGAATATTTTTCATTATCTTTACATATTCAGTTCTTTCTTCAATATGTCTCCTCTTCATTTTAGAATTTTTGGATTTAATTAAAGATTTTTGTTACTCTAAAAAACTAAATGCATTTAGAATTTATAGGAAAAGATGCTAATTTTATTTTTTTAGTAATATGAACATTCAGAATAAATATGGGTAAAAGTATATTTAGGGGTACCCCTTGGCGAAAATTGGTGATTTTTGGCAGAACATGGATACGGAGTTAGTGCAATTCTTCGACTTATTTTGGCTTTGTGTAGCGGCGATTTTAGCGCCAAAAATCTACTACACAAAGATAAAATAATAAGTCAAAGAATTGCACAAACTCGGTATCCATGCACACATTACCTATTTTCATTAAAAAAAACATCACAGAATTGCACAAACTAGGCACGGCGTTAACCTTAAAGTTATCCATGTACACATCGATATATTTTCACTTAAAAAGTCCAAGGAGCACTCAATTCTAGGTAAAAGTATATTTACGGAACATTCAACTACTCACATTGACATAAATGAAATAAGAACTTGGCGATAAATGAAACAACTTCACTGTAATACAAGGGTACCCTTCAGTCTACTCTAACCTAAATATGAAATTATATATGGTAAGAGCTGGTTTAGCAGAATTTTTGGAATTTACTAACACACCGAGCAACAAAATGTAGAAATGACAAAATTTTAAATTTGGGAAAGCACTAAACAGCAGAATTTAGGATCTACAGCATGGGTGTCTAAAGTGTGGCCCAAATGCAAATTATGAGTTTTTAAATTTACACATTTTTATTAAAAAATAAATGTTTGACTTTGATTCATACATAATCAATTTGGTGGCATTTATTTTAAAATAAAAACATCTTAGTATGTCATGATGTGACTGCAAAGTGACATTCAACTGAAAGAAAAATTTCAAAATATTTCTTTACTGGAGTTTTACAAAGATTACCTACCCCGCGATAAATATCCAAATTTTCACAATCATCCTTTATGGGAACAATCATGCTTTAAATATTTCATATTTAGGTCATACAAAGGACAAAGCTCATTGGCAAACATCTTGAAAATGCATTACGAACTGCAACCTCGTCTATTGAACCCGATATCAATTTGCTTGTTCAACAACAGCAAATTCATCCATCATTAATTTGAATTTTCTCCATCTTTATGAAATCCAAACTAAATGAAACGAAACTTTTACAAATTAATATTAAATATGTACCTATACATATCTAATTCAAATTAAAAAAAATAATATTAAAAAGAAATTGGTAAAATCCTAGTTTACGGTGCAGCCTTGGCGCGAATTTGAAAATTATCGCCAACACCAAAAATGATCTTGAAGAACGTCTATGTATACACTATACACTAAGTATGTATATACATAGTATATATATACTATATACATAGGTGTATACTATGTTTAACTATATATATTCTTTGAATGACCTTAACTTACTACTCATCGTATATGTCCCATTTTTACTGCTCATCATAAACTCGCCAAATCCTGTGTGCACCGGATACTAGGATTAAACCAAGAAATTAATTAATTTTAATAAAACAACATCGGCCTTAATCAAATAACTTCCAGGAAGAATATCACAAAATACTTGCTAACTTTATGTTGAGATATTTTTTTTGAGCAACATTTATCGAGCATTTTTCAATAATTATACCATGAAGTATGCCATTCATTGTTATCGGTACAGCATTTTTAGAATACAGAAAAATAAAGTAAAAAAACAAATACGTATGAAACTTTTAAAATAAGAAATAAATTACAGGAATTATCTTCCAATCCAGGTAAGAGATATAAACATATACTGATGCTATAAGGAAAATTACACATTTCAATAAGAGATTTTCGACTTTTTAAACTCTATAAATTTGTTAAAAATTAAAATTATAAATGCATACTTAATATTAATTTTTCATTAAATGATATACATACCACTTTCTCGTCAATTTACAAACAAACTAGTTTCATAGGGCTGAGTTGTTTATTTCCTGCTGATCACGGTCAAAATAATTGAGGAATGCATAAGTTATGTTTTATGAGTAATAATACAACTCATTAGCTTGTTGTTGCTTTCAAATTCAACAATAATTCAGAAATTAGTAACAATCTGTTAGTGACAAACGATTTATGGAAGTCTTTAAGCTGTAATGATAATAGCAACAAAAGAGCCCTCCCCTTTTTTTTTTCATGATAAGTATTTCAGAAGTAAAGAAGGGATTCAATTATGTTATTTAAGTAACAGAAGGAAAAATGAAACTCTAAGATGTATACCGAGAGCAAGTCAATTATGAGTTCGCCAAAAAGTACTGTCGTGAAGAAGTAAATTGGGTGGGATTTTGCTCCAGTTTTTAATTTTATCTTTGGTGTTTAATACATTTTTGGAAAAGTATTCGTTAGTTGGTCATAGCCAGACAGAAAAATTTACCGAAGTAATTTCCAGCTAGACACTCATAAACTAGTCATAGACTAGAACTTCGCTCCTGGTGTGTACACAAAGACTGTCAGCCAATCAGAAGAAAATAAAGAAGGCGGGGCAAAAAAAAATCGTATGACGTGTCTATGTTTACGTTATGTGTCATGTATGTATGCTTTTATTTTGCGGTGTGTCGTAGTGATTTGTGTCGGCATATGTTTTGATTTAGTTCCGTAGTGGTGGTTTAATTATTTGGGTATTAAGTTATGCTGAGCTGAGATGATCTGGTATTAAAGTATTGTACTTTAGGATTTCGTTTCGTTCAGTTACATTGAACCAATTACTGAACTTAGAAGAAAAAGCATTTCTTTAAAATTTGCCCCAAATGTCTGATACCGATAGTGATTTAAATTTTGAGAGCGCAGATGAGGACACAGAGCAAGAATTAAGCGAGAAAAGTAACGTAGCAGTACGCCCTTCTGCTAATAATGATGCAGAGAAAAATCTAAATGAGCAGTTCTCATCCAATGTTAATATATCTGCTAACAATTCAGACTTAATAAAAAAGGACGAAGTTTCAAATGAAACTTCTGCATTGATACCTAATGAAAATGCTGCTGATCGGCGAGTCAAGTCTTCCGTATTTTCCGAACCAGCGGCTGAAAATACAGGGAAGTGTGTTTCCAATAACCCTCAGCATGAAAAACAGTTTAATGAAATTACTAATGAAAAGGCGAAAAATACTTCCACGTCGACTATTGAAAATACAACAGAAAGTGCTCCAAACGATTCACAGCCTGAGAAACAGAGAGTAACTTTGCGACTCGAGAAAAAACTTAAGCAAAAGCATGATTTACCGAAACAGATTTCCAGCGAGACAGAAGAAAGTTCGTCTACTTTTACACCCACTCAAAGTGAAGGAAAGGTAAATATTTTAGTTGCTGTAAGAACTTCAATTTCTTGCTGTCATACATGCTGTCTGTAAATTATACATTCATGCCCATTCAGCAGAAAGTGCTTTCTGTAAATTTTACATTTATGCACATTCTGAGCCCGGACTAGCACATAAAGATTTCGAATAATATTCAAATATGCAATGAATGTAGTTATATAACCAATCCCATTGGAAAAATTCTTATCGACTGAATTTCGAATTTCTAGCGTTCTACCTCTATAAATTTTTTTGTAAAAGGTGCAACAATGAAACTGTAATGCAGAAAAATTTAAACAAATATTTTACTTTTGTATTTATTTAAATATCTGCACAATAGCCAACTGTAGTGGGATGTGTTAAAACAAACAAACAAAGCAATATAAATATCTCTTTAGAATATATAATTTATGTGATTGTGGTACATCTTTAGGATAGTTTTAATGAAATAATCTAAGAATATTTGTGATAGTCATGTTGAAAAGATAAAAGATTCTATTAAAATGCTTATTTCCTGGTAGCATTCATTTTTTTTTATTGATATCATTAACGTTTTTTTAGCATGCTTGGTTAGATTTAAATTCCATGCATGCATAAGCTAGCTCATGCATTCCATATCTTTATCTTTTGATATATCTGTAATCGGTAAAAGTATATTTAAGGGTACCTCTTGGTGGCACATGGATACCGAATTTGTGCAATTCTTTGACTTGTTATTTTGGCTTCGCCAAAAATCGCCGGCACTAGAATTGCACAAAATCAGTATCCATGTACACATTAACCTATATTCATTAAAAAAAATATCCCAATTGCATAAGAATGGCATTGTGCACTCCCTTGACTTTATCCATGTACACATCGACCTATTTTCACTTAAAAAAAAATCTCATAATTGCACAAAAATGGCATTACGCACTCCCTTGAGTTTGTCCATGCACACATCGATATATTTTCACTTAAAAAGTCAAAGGAGCACCCAATTCTACAGTAGAGGTAGACAAAAAATGCATAATCTCAACAAACTACATTTTAAATCAAACAATAAAATAACATAAAAAAGGAAAAATATGTTATGCATATAAGCACTACACAAAGCAAATATCCACTTACCTTATTTAGAAATTTCTTCGTCTTCAGTCTGTGGCACACAAAATTCCTTAACAGCATCCAAAAACTTCCTAAAATTATCGGAATTCAAATCCGTATTTCGGTGTCGCCACATAAATTCTCAAAAATAAGAGTCAAAAATATCGTACGTAGTTCCGTACTGTCCAGAAAATGGCTACTAAGTAAACCTTCATTTACATGCCAGTTAATTAATGCACTTTTTCCCTTTCGTTCCAAATCACACAAAAAATTAATCTTACAACATTCAGCCATTCTACAGTTTCAACAATGAAACAAGCAATGTACTTCCTAACAACACACACCACAAAAGCCCTTACAAAACATCCCAAGATTCAAAATTTCCTGGAATAATGCAAACAATCACATCATAATAGAGTTCCCATAACATTGAAGTACTCGGGTTACCATAAACTTGGCGATAAATGAAACAACTTTGCGATAATACAAGGGGTATCCTAAAGTCAACTGTAACCCTGTAATGGTTTGGTTGAGTTGATTCCAGCAATCCCCCATCTTTTGCACACCGCTCTTGATCCATGCGTGTTCCAGATGCATTCATTAAGGTCATTGTTAGTGAGTAGTGAATCGTTTAAAAAAAAAAAAAAAAAGATTCATTTCAATGAGCGAATGATTCCGATCTGATCACATAAAGGAGCAGTTTTGCCCATCTCTGCTCGACAACCCTGACCACTGTCTCAGTAGAATCACCAAGTGAAGTCCTGTCTTTGCTTCTAAAGAAAACCATTCATTCTGGTAGAATAGTGAGATTTAATTTTATTTAATCCTCACGACGTATGATGTGTAGGGGGAGAAAATATTGTGGCGTTTAACTATGATTGGAGACTTCTGATCCCTTAATTGTTTTCTATCTGTTTATTTAATTGCATTATTTCATGTACTTAAAGCAGTAGGTGGCGTTTAACTATGATTGGACTTCTGATCCCTTAATTGTTTTCTATCTGTTTATTTAATTGCATTATTTCATGTACTTAAAGCAGTAGAAATTGTTTGTGTGTAAATGAGATCGTATCTCTATATCAATTAGTAGTGTGGTTCTGGCATGCAGATGCATGTATCGTTCTAACTTGTTAAATATAAATATGTTTATGTTGTGAAGGTGACTACTACTTTATTTTACTTGGCAAATTACTTTTCTTCCAATATAATAAACATGTGTTATGACTGTAGCTCAGCATAAGGGTAAATTTCCTTATTGAATTCAACCGGAAAGTGTTACTTGTATACATAAGTATTGAAGCATATTGTACTTGGATTTTCCAGGCTGGTATATAAATATGCAAATTCCAGCTTCTTCATCTGTGTACTTAAATCACCAAACCTAATCACAGAGGAATTTTCTTGTTTAAAAAATTAAAGCAATGTTTGTTTGATGCAGGTTGCAAGGATAATGATTTGAAAGGCATTTTCAGGAACAGTTTGAAAGGTGAAATGAATTTTTTTTTTTTGCTGGAAACCAGCATGTAATTAATTAAGGAGTCTTTACTCTTATATGTGCCCTAATATCACCAAATGTGGTGATATGTGTTCTGCACTGGTTTTTGGCATGATTGCGTGTTGTATGGAATCCCTGTTGACGTTGAAAAACCTTTTGTTGGAGTTGTTTAATTGCTCATTGGTTTGTGTCATGCTTGTTTTGAAATAGCCTATGTTGCAATGATAGACGTGGTGGCAAGATTTCAGTCGCGTATTTTAGTTTGTGTGGAAAGTAAATTTAGTATTAAAAGGTACGATGTTGGAGTTGTTAACGAGTCTTTTGTTCACGGGTGTCTTTATGAGGATCTAAGTGATATTTTGGAATAAAGTGTATTTTTGGAATAATAATTAAGATAAGTGTATTTTTGGAATTTCTGTGGGACTTTTAAAAGAGAGTCCGAAATGCAGAGCCGCTATGAGAACTTGGACGAAGAAGGGCATTTCTGATAGTTCTTGTGTGGATTTGCAGTTAAATGGTTGCAGCTAAAGTATGTGGCTGTCAGCAGAGTTTAAGATTTGGATTATGGTTTTCGTGTAGTAAGTTAACTTTATCGTTACTTTTGAAATTTTGAATCTTAGAAAGACGTGATATAGCAAAATCGTGGCACTTTTGTTCAGAGACGTGCGACTGGCGAAATTTTATTCAGGAATGTATTATTCTAAGTGCATTTTATTTTACTGTTTTTATTTTGCAAAATGTTATGTTCATTGTTTTTTACTATGAATTTTTGTTGTTATTATTGTTTTTTGAATTGTTTGTAATTTAGTTTAGTTTAATTCGTTGATTTGTGCACAATGCTTAGATTGTGCAATTCGTAGATTTTTTTAAATGTTTAAACAGAATGCTGTGTACATGGTATTCTTTGAAATTTATTTGTTGTTATGTTAATTGATTGAAGCAAGGTATGCATAGTTCGTAGATTTCTTCATTGCTTAGAATGTGCAATTCGTAGATGTTTTTTAGAGTTTAAAACATATCGCTGTGTACATGGATTCTTGTCAAATATTTTTGGTTGGAAACTATGTTTTTGCTATCTAAATTTTTTGTTTTTGTTTCGGATTTTTAGCTTAAATTGTGTCTTCAAAGCGTGGTTTTTGCAGACATTTTAGGCTTAAAATTCGAAATGTAGATAAAAAATGTAGGTAGTAATATGGGCAATGTGGAGTTTCTCGCCAAAAATATTTGGCAAGGGCGACCTGAGAGCGCATATGAGAGTAGTTCGATTAAGGGAAACTGTGTAGAACAGCATTTCTCAATTTCCAAGTGGAGACCACTTTTTTAAATTAGGATGTTCTGAGGACCAGCTTATTCTTGTGTCTTTCAAAAGCAATTTTTTTTAGCATATGCTGTTACCACTAATAGTTATATTTTTAAAAATTAAAATTCATTTAATTTTATATTGGTATTAAGAAGTAAATTAACAGAAGAAAATCCATATTCATTTTTAATAATTCAAAACTGTTATAAATTCACCAGTTTTTATCTATTGAACTAAAATTAAAATAAATGTTAATGCTCACATTAAAGAGATAGATGAACATTACAGTTGTTGCTTAGCTGCTCTGTTTTCGTTGCATGCTGGTAAGCTTAAGCCTGAGTGCGATATTGCACATCTGAAGTTGTACTGTCATACAAAATCGGTTGTAGCATTGTCTCGAAAGTGTATTCTTGGGTAAAATTGGTTTCAGCATTATCTCAAAAGGTTCCTAGCAGGTGTGCAGCGTTTAATCTTTTAAACGCTGCACACCTGCTAGGAACCTAACACGGGCAGACGACGTCGGGCGGCTGGACTCTGGCGATACCACGCCTAAATATTTTGAATTCATTGCAGGTACTTGTCATATGTAAGCATCTTTTATACAGTATCTCATATGTAAGTACTTAGTATGATATAAAAATTTTATTAATCATTGAGCACTTTGGTTGATTTTTACATTATGGTAACTTGGCGATTTTTTGGCGAAAATTTGGCGACCAACTCTCCTACACCAACTCTCTATTTTTTTTTCCCACCGCCATTTTGTCTTCACGAAGTAAAGACATGTTTCTTTTCTTTTTATCTACTGAACACTTCTTCCAACAATCCACTAGCCGAATTACACTTATGCTAGAAATTTTATCTAACAAAACTGCTTAATCATGACAAATATTCACTGCAAAATTGGGAAAAAGTGCACAATACCATATTCCTTACGCGTTTTTCAAAATAACTCATACACATAAACCATGTACACGTCGACTTATTTTTACTTAAAAAAAAACATCCCAAAATTGCACAAAAATGGCATTGCGCACACTGTTCACTATATCCATGTACACTGCTTTTTTTCTCATAAATTAGAAAAATTTCACGAAAATACATGACAATTTT